TCATAGTGTAAATTTGCACACATGAATAATTGCGTTTACATGGACACATTTGCATACGTGAGTAAATATACTTACTCATGTATGCAAATGTGTCCATGTAAACGGGGTATAAGATAGCTTTGTACAAGTGGACCCTTAATGTTCCCGTTCCCCAGACAGTTTCATCATTGTGAAATTCGCGTTGAAGAATCATAGAACTCCATGTATACGTGGCCTAAAAAAATAAGGGAACCTCAACACAGATATTGAGACTGATATGACAGTGTGAGTTTACATCTCAACTGTTCTAAAACCTGAACTCCAAGCAATTAAATACACTGACTACTGTCTTCCGAAATGCTTTCAAATCACGAGCACACGAGCACTGCATGCATGGAAGGCTACTTAAGGCATGATATGCAGGTGAGTGTGACAACACACAATATGCCACCGCGACAGTATTTAACACCAGCTCAAAAATGGCAATGCATAGGAATGTTGCAGTCCGGAGAAACACGGATTGAGTAGCCAGATTTTTTGGGAAGTCGAAGAGCGTTATCTCTCGTCTTGCTGCTCCACACCGTCTGGTGACGTCAAAATGTGGATGGATCGTGGACGACATCGGAAGACTACAACCAGAGAAGACCGCGATAGTTTCACGCTGCAACTGGGATACATCTTTCCTACAGCACAGTACGTCACGGACTCCGTGAGGCTGGGCCGAAAGCAAGGCGTCCTTATCGTGGCGTTAACATGTCACAGGCCCACAGACGGACTCATCTACAGAGGTGTCAACAACGTCAGGGCTGGCCTATACGTCGATGGCGTCACGTCATGTACTCTGACGAGTCCAGGTTCTGTTTATGATTCACTGATGGCCGCAACGTGTATGGCGACGACGTGGGGAGAGATACAGACGTAACACTATCATTGAGCATGATTTCTTCGGTGGAGTGTGTTATGGGCTGGGGAGGTGTTTCCTACGATAGGAGGACGGATCTTCTTCTTGCTCCCGGTAATCTGACAGGACAGCGTTACGTCAACGAAATCTTGCGCCCCTTTGTTGCTCCGATGGCCCATCGGGAAGGACGTAACTTCATCTTTCAAGATTATAACGCAAGACCACATAGGGCTCGTGTTGCTGTTGACTTTGTCAGACAACAAGGCATTTTGAAACTTCCGTGGCCTGCTAAATCTCCAGACATGTCGCCCATTGAACATGTGTGTGGTATGGTAGGAGAGTTCGTGCACGGCGCCCTGGACCTGCTAATCTCAAGGAACTTGGAACAAAAACAGCGAAAAACAAGGGTGCTGAAACACACCAGCACGATGTTTGATTCAAACGCTCAAACACAACAGCCTAATGCATGTGGAAGACAGACTTCCCTTGCAGCTTGTGGCAACTGGGATTTGGCAATGTGAATCCTTTCCGAGGGGCTTGGACCACAACATATCGGTCATCTGCCCTTGATGTTTTTCTGGGTCTTCCAGAACGAGGCCTGTCCTGTACTCTACCAGTGGCCTGGAACCTGTCCCTCAGTCTGTGAATGACAGAGGGAGACACCTGAAGACTGCGAGCAACACTTCTTCTGGATTCACCATCCTGTAACCATGCAGTGGTCCTGCTTCTGTCGTGGGCGCTTAACGGTCTGCGCTATGACATGGTGAAGCGCGTGGTCAACTCGGATATATGTAAGCGATTTATGTCACCACGTGGCAAACTTCTGTCTCACTTTGTTAGTACTCGTTACTTAGTGAATGTTATTTAATATACCAATTCACATACTTTCAGAAGCAAGGATAACATGAACAAATCTCTCATTGATTACATCCTGATTCCCTCACATTTACTTAATAATGTCACATCAAGTAAAGTGTTGTTCACTAATTATGATACATCTGATCACTTTCCATACGTAGCTTCCATACAAATAAATGATAATACAAAGGCAAAGGTTAAAGAAACTCATTTTGTTAAATGGGACAAAGCTTCCAGTATTGAGATCTCTTCATACAAGAACTGTCTTGATAACCTGCTTAACAATGCCAAGACTTGTTCATCAGTCCATACACGTGATGCTATTGAATCATTCAGTACAGTAATAAGCGAATGTATGATTAAAGCCAGTAGTCAGTCTCTACCAGTAGGTAATTTTAAAGCGCATTTAAAACCTTACTGGAAGCAGGATGGGCTGCATAACGATCATTTTAACATGGGCGTTGCTAGGAGGCGATGGTTGTGCGAGGATAAGCCAAAGGGGGGGGAGAGGGAAGAAAAGAAATTTAATCATATAAGCAGGCCAAGCGAGAATTCCGACGCCGCCATAGACAGTCAAAGCGGGCCTATACTAAGAATCTGTACTCGGACCTAGAAACTACCTGTGAGACCGATGTGATTACGTTTTAAATCGGAGTTGTTAAACTTGCGTATGATAACTTCAGTGCAACATCTCCCACTGACATCTGTCAGCTCTGGGGTAGATACTATGCAGATTTAGCAAAACCGTACGATTGTGACCAATTTGATCAAGATTTCAAACATCGAATTGACAGTGAAATTGTCAAATTAGACTCCAGCAATGAAACTAATTCATGGGTTGATAATATACTCTGTGCAGACATATCCGTTCACGAAATCACAAGATATATACAGAAACTGAGTAGAAACAAATCGCCTGGCCCTGACAAAATTAATCATGAGCATGTGATGTTTGGTGGTGAGCTTTTGGTAGGGAAGTTAGCACTATTATTTAATGCTATTCTCAGACTTCAGTACACACCTGCTGCGTATAGACACGGGGTGATTATACCCATCTACAAGGATAAAAAGGATAAATCAAACCCGGCCAATTATAGAGGTATTACGCTCACATCTTGTTTAAGTAAACTTTTTGAGAAAATTCTCCTAGAAAGACTAGAAACGTGGACCTCCCAAAATGCTTGCAATTTTCCCGATGTGCTACAATTTGGATTTAGGAAAGAACATGGCGCTGTCATGTCGCTATTTACCCTTATTGAATGTGTGCAAACCTATCTTAATAGGGGGTCATGTATCTACACAGCATTCCTAGATAACGAGAAGGCCTTTGACCGAATATGGCAATCGGGTCTCTTCGTTAAACTTTATCATCTTGGTATAAGAGGTAAAATGTGGTCTCTGCTACGTCACTGCTACACTTCCATGTATGCTTGCGTCCAGTATAAGGGTGAACAGTCTGATACCTTTGCTGTCAAACAAGGCATCGGTCAGGGTAGAGTTATCTCAGCTTGGTTATTTCTCGTGTACATAAATGACCTCATAACTGAGCTCCGGCAGGTAGACACTGGAATATGTATATATAACGTTCGATTGCCATGTGTACTACTTGCTGATGATACTACACTTATTAGTTACAGCCCTAAAAGTCTACAACTAGCTTTAGACATACCCCTGTCTGATAGTGTAAAGTACGCGGGTGTTCTTCTCCAAAGTAATCTTTCTTTTAAACTATATATTGAGGAGAGCTGTACTAAAGCAAGGCGCACTGTTAATTCCCTCCTCTCTGTTGGTCTAAACAGTAGGGATTTACATCAGTATTCAAGTACATGTATTAAGATATGGAAAAGAATGATATTAACAACGAGTTTTTATGGCTGTGAATTACTACCCATTCTCCATGGTAAAGACCTTGAACTAACTGAAAGCACTCAGCGCTACTTTGCCAGGATTGTACAAGGTTTTGATAAACGCTCTCCTACTGACGCCACCATTGCTGATCTAGGACTCTGGCGCATGGTCGGCTATATAGATAAATGCAGACTACAGCTGCTTGGGCGTCTCTGTAACTTATCATGTGTCCCAATCTGTAAAACAATCTTTTGTGCATCTACCTCACTCTATTATTCTCATACCAAGAACTTAGACAGTTTATGTGGAGTACTGCTTTCAACAGCTAAGAAATACATGTATAACTTACTTCATTATGTATTAGACTACATCTGCACAGGAGAATTCCCGGCGAAACATAAGTGGAGAAAGATTGTAGTAAATGAAATAAGTAACCACGAGGAAGAAGTTTGGAAATATAAACTATCATGCAGAGCTGACTTGTCTAGATATTCTAAAATCTATACAGCACTTTCACCTCATGTGTTATACAGCATGGCATTGTTATATCCAGAACTGAGAGAAGAATTGCAATATGTAATAAGGATTGGATCCGGAAGCAAACTATCAAAAGAATGTAAAAAATGTAATACCTTCGCTAACGATTTCTATCACCATGTTATCCTAAACTGTGGATCTCTACTTTCAGAGAGAGATGTATTTTTCTCAACTCTAATCGATAATCTTGAAATTGACGTGTATATCAAAATAGAGATGATGGAAGAGCATGACACGCTGGCATTCTTTCTAATTGGATACATATCCAGCAGAGGGAGGGAATTTAATAGACTTATCGGGCCGAGCCGTATATGCATCCAGAACGTATACCCTGGAGATAATCGAGGATGGTGGAATATGAGACCTCACGGCAAAATTCCTTTGGGCTTCAAAATACAGAGATTGTATGGTCTTTAAAATTATGACCAAGTTGATCCTCCTGCTCCACCTGTCACGCCAGCAGCTTCTGCTAAAGCCTGGATTGAGATCTGAACTCAGTTGAATTGTGATTTAGAAAACGGTCCAAAACACTGAAACACACACTAAACACTCACATATATCTGGGCAGACACTCTAACCACTACACCAAGGAGGTGGTTACCAACTTCATAAAAGCTAAGAGCAACATTATGGTGCTGACAGACATGTTGGTTTAAAAAACAGATTTATGGAAACAATTTCCAAAAGAAATAAGATAACATTTGCCATTGGCACTTCAAAATGGACCAGCTGAAAATGGACCACTTGAGTTGAAAGAAGAGTAAAACAATGTCGGCATGCATTAATTAAATTGCCATAACTGAGTCTCTATCATAAGGTTGAGCACATATAAGTATCCAGCTCCATGTAGAAACTAGTACAGATATATGACCATATGTGAATTTTATCAATGTTTATTCATGTATAGAATTTCCATTTTTACTATGTATTAATAATATACCAGTACTTATAACATACATGCACATAACAAAATAAACTAACAAAGGTTTTACAATCAAAGGTACTTAAAAAGATATACAATTTCTTGCCAAGCAAAATGTACATGCTTTAACTTATGTTCTATTTTAAATATTTGTACACATATTGTATCTCTTTCTTGAAAGATAACAAATTTCATTAGAACATAAGAGTTACATAGCACTGCTCACCTGACTATGTAATATAGTCTAAAGTGTCAATAAAGACAGACGCTTTACAAAGTATCGGTTTCTTGGCATCTATAGAACAAACATGCATGTGACGTTTTAAGCTTCACTGGATAAGTTGCTTTTGGTAGGGGTCATTACAGGGGCAAAGAGAAATATTGCCTGTGAAACAGCTTTTGTTTACTACTACTGCAATACTTACTTCACATGTAAGAAAACTATTGGCCTCTGTTATTACAGAAGCACTGAAATAAGATAATCATTTGAAATTTGTATTAAACTATTTCCTGTAAGAAAATGCATGTGAACTTCAAACAATATGGATGCAATGATTAGATTGCAGCATCGTATCTAAAACTATTATTCCATTCAGAATAATATACACATGGAACTTAATTAAGCACAGCAAAAATCAAAATTACACAGAATGAAAAGGTTACTAAATATTTATCATTTATCAATCTATGATAGATGTTTCCCCCCACACCATTGACAGCAGCACAGTTAATGTACGATGTAGCACACTGTGCCTTCAACACAATAACTGTTACAAGTCTACAACATACTGGTCATCAACATTACAGGTACAAATGTCTCAACAAGGGTTGCATGCTAATTACAAGGCAATATCATGACACCTCACATACTGTCTAAAGCGTGAAGATGGCAGATTATGGAGTGAGAAATGCAGGAATGTCTTGCACTGAGACTGGATATCAAGGAGGATGTCAACAAACTGAAATTTATTTAAAGCTTAGAAACACTGAATAACAAATGAAGGACAGGCCATCACCAGTTCAGCCTCACACCCAGGAGAGAAGATGCAGAGGGGAACGCTTGATAAGGAACATCCATTTCACAACAGTTGAGTTTAAAGACACAGTGCCTAACAGGCAAAGTGATTTCAACCAGAAGTATCAGAAATGGTCTGATACAGATACGGAAAACTCTGTTGCAGATGATATCTCATTTGGTATGTCTAAACTAGAATACTGCAATTCGATAATTGGAGCTGAGATATCAATCAATGATCATTTGTAATCATAGAGCCCACTACAAATTCACTTGGGTCATAACGGGACACTATATCACATTGTGCGACCGAAACCTGCATGGTAAATACTACGATCAAGAATCGAGAATACTTCCTGTTGAGACATGCACACGGGCATGTTGTTTACATTGCAGTTTTACGTGTTGGGTGTTTATGTCTTGATTTAACAAATATTACAATAAGAAACCTATTTTCTAAAGTTATATTTGATGTTTCATTTTTTTAATGAATATCAATTAGTCTCCTGAGCACATTGATAATTGCTGATGGATGCGATATTGACGGATTGACCCATTATTCTATCAATTGCTCCAGCACTAGTAAAGAGTCCATTTTCCCATAGTTGTCTGTTACCCATGGTAGTCAGCCATGCATGTTTGGAGTTCTGGAGCAAATACAGCCATGGCTGCACACATCATTCTAGACATCCATCCATTTGATGGAAGAGGACTGTGGTAATGGTATGGAGATGTGTTTCATTCAATTGACTTGACTTGATCACTATAAACATAATCTGAACATACCTTGATATCAGCCTGACATCCTGGACACAGTAGTTATCCCCATTTGGAGAATCATGTGTTGGCCACAAGACCTGTATTTATGAATGATGCTAGCACTCAGAGATCATAGGCTGTTCTGGAACACTTAAATCACATGATATTGTGACTCTTCCTTCAAGATGTCTAGATCCAAGAGAACATGTGTGGAACATTTTAGACTGTCAAGTCTGACAGAGATCGACCTGTCTAAACTTTACATGGACTTGTTGCTGCTGTGTATGGGCATGGGTAGAAATATCTCCTCAACAAGTGCAATGTGTGATTCATGGAATATAGGAAACTTCTGCCTGCAGTCATCTATGTGTAGTATTGACAAGAACTAAATAGTATTCAACTTTCTTTCTTTAAAAAGCCCACAATTAAGCCCTTATGCTCTTCATTATGGATGAGTGTGGTAGGCAGTAAATATCATTGGTCACTGTTATCTCGAACACATTTTGCCTGCAAAAAAACTTGACTCATTCATTACAATTAGAAGAAAAAGCTACTCTGTTTTCAATTTTGCGGTCCTTTATTGTTGATTTAAGACCGCTAAATGTAATTTAAAAACCGAACGCGTATAGGTGACAATATGGGATGTGCTTAATGTATTTCCAGGTGTACATATTCTAATATTGTGCGAAATAGTAGCAGCCTTTACATTATGTATTTATATAACACACTAATAACCTTAAGTGAAGTACTTAGGCTGTGAATATGTTGACATAAAATGCTCAAAAGTACTGGAAATATAGTTGTTAATGAGTTAATGGATACATGTTGTAAATGTCCATTCTCTGTCAACTCAGGTTCATTCAAAAGCGGCAATGTGATTGTTGCTGATGTGAATAATGGAGGGTTGGTGACCTCTTAACACATTTTCCTTGAACATGTGAAAAGTTTTTAAAATAGATTATATTGACTTATTCTGACTCGATCAAGTAGCTGATTTCAGTATGCTGCTGGTAATAACTGCTCATGCTTACATATTTGTGCTGGGGAAGAGACATTTCAACATTTTGGTCTATACTATAAACACATTCTTTTACACAATTGTATGGTATTAACACAATGTTATTAATAGCTGTTGCTAACATCAACATTATCTTGATATCAATGTACTGCCATTGCAGCACTTACATTAAGAATCTATTGATACTAACATGTATTAATACTTATATGTACCCTTAGCTTCTGCAGTGTTTACAGTTGTTGGAGAGGCATTCTGAAAGGCTTAAATAGCATGGTGAAAAGTGCAAAGGTCTTATCAATGCCAAAAAATAAAATGTTGCATTAAGTGTGAAACTTCTGTGGTGGGCACTGTCCCAACATGGATTCCAACATTGTAAACACAAATGAACTGAACAATATAATATGTCATCATGAGGAGAAACAGCAAGCCAAGTTCCGCTTCCCCATCAGGCAATTTCAGAGTATATGGTGAATGAGTTTGGAAACAATGTAATAGCATTACATTTTTAGCAGAAATGGTCAAGGTGTGGTGTCGTTACTTGATGTGAGATATGAACTGGATGAACCAATTCTGGTATAATTATTGGTGAGAACAAGCATGTGAAGTTGTTTCTCAAAGAATGATGTCTACATTGGATGATGAATGACTTTTTTGTATTTTCCAATATGGACCCTTCAAACACAAAGTTTTTTTATTAGATTTAAAAAAAATAGTCTTCTCTCAGATAAACCTGGTGACCTTAATACAAATCCAATTTTATGCTTTGACAAAATTTTAACCTCCTTTTAGTAAACATCCACAAAAAAACTGCAGCTGATCCACTCAACCATTTTGGAAAACATAAAAAAGTTCAAAGGCAACCACTACAACACCGATGGAGCCCTTTAAAGGACCAGTGAGCCAGAAAAATAATCTGCTGTAAACGTCCACGGAATGAGTCTTTGAAATACTCCTGTGATAGTTACCTAGACTGGCAGTATGCATCGTAAGTCCACATGGCATCCGGTCCGTCTACTGTCATACACTCAGTATGCCACAGGAGACTAGTCAATCATACTGGTCACTTGTTAATATTGTTGTGAATAACTTGATTGTGAGGAACATATAAACATTCTGAGTTCACTCCTGTAGTCACTCAGGATGACTATGTTAGTGAATAATAGTCACACCGATGGGCCAAACTTGCCCTCTATGTAACAAGACAAAGTCATCTGTAATGACAATGTTTGAATTATGTGTAAAACAACTGCTCAATATGCATACAGTGATTCAAGAAGTAAGTGAAGACTTGTGAGTTATTCTCATGTTCATGAGATATAATTAATACACAATGCTGAGCAATCTGCAGTCTCTGTGCAGAACACTTCAGTCTGACTTTTAGACCTTGGCTTTTGACTAGTGGCCTAATTTAAGCACTGTAACTGTTACGGCTGGATCACACATGGTGAACTGAATCTGTATTGACTCTAAAGCTGTTGTGTAACATCTTCAACCATCAACTTCATGCTTGCAGAGTCACTGCCGTCATCATCATCATCATCGTCGTCGTCATCATCATCATCTGCATTTTCCACTTGATGACTGGTTTGGATGGTATCATGTTCTTCATTGTATTCAATGTCGGGTTCCTCCTCTGTCGTCACTGAAAATCAATGGGAAAACATAAAGAGTTTGCACTATAATGGAGAGCAGTAGATGACTACTGTAAATCATGACACTAATGCGTCACGAATTTAATGCGAGTGTGAGGGTGTACACTTCTGCTATTGTTACATAATTTGCTGATGTATAAGTTCAATGGATACCAATCAGTGTCATAGTAATTAGTGCTCACTTGTCAATTACTGTAAACGTATTATATTTCGCGCAGGTTTTATTTTTGCGCTTTTCGAGCAAAACATTTTAGCGCGAAAATTTATACACCGCGAATAAACCTGTCATTCATTCAGTCTAGCCACCCTCGCCCCTGAGTTGTTACCATAACACATCACGTTTGAAGACAGAAATCAACGGGAATCTTAAAATGACGACTGATCATACTTAACTGTCGCTGTAATGGATTTCCCAAAACATAATTAAATAATGAGCCAAATCCCATTGCCAATTAGCAAAACAGCAATGTGTGTTGTGGCCGCCATGGAAATTGGTCACATGACATGGTTTGATACAAAACAGATTACCGTGAAACGACTTGGAAAGAAATAATACAGCAGTATTTTATTTATTCATTAAGATTTTATTCACCAGTACATCATGAAGCGAATAGTCACTAACACTCAATCATCTCATTCACAACAACCCGGCTTGTTTGAAATCACAAAAGAGCTTCATATACAGTATAAGTTAATTAGTCAAATCGTCAGAATTCGAACATAAGACTGATGTGTTTTTCATCTCTTCCGGGAGTAAACGGATTACTGTGTACTAGTATATCGCACAGATAGGGATTTCCTGTGAGTAAGCAATAAATGCCGCCTGACAGGTTAAGCCACTCTGTTTGTTTTCACTGCTATTAGTGGCGGCCAAAGAGACAGTTGGCAGTTCCGGCAATTACTGATTGCGCGAATAATTGACCGCGCGATGTAGTCTAAATTGTCAATTCCGCGAAAATTGCACCACGCGAAAATAAGTACGTTTACAGTAAGTTTATGATAGATGATTAAATTGTTGTTATATTCTGTATTCTGTAAGTTCTCAAAAGTAGACATGGTCAGACTGAAATGCTTCATTACAATAATGCGAGACGAGTAAAGACGCATTTTTCGCATTAATGACTGACTGACTGACTGAGTTTGGTTTTACGCCGCTTTTAGCAATATTCCAGCAACATCACGGCGGGGGACACCAGAAATGGGCTTCACACATTGTACCCATGTGGGGTTTTCGCATTAATGAAATGCTTGCATTAATTTCATGATTTACAGTATACCCCTAGAACATTGAAGACTCACTGGAATGCAGCATAGAAATAGCTCAGGGTCAATTTTATAACCAACAATTTTAAACAATACAAACACAAAATAATGCTAATAAGTAATAGGTATACAACTTTTCATTATTTGTCACTGCTACTGAGTGAGTGAGTGAGTGAGTGAGCATAGTTTTACACCGCACTCAGCAATATTCCAGCTATATGGCGGCGGTCTGTAAATAATCGAGTCTGGACCAGACAATCCAGTGATCAACAGCATGAGCATTGATCTGCACAACTGGGCACCGAATACATGTGTCAATCAAGTCAGGGAGCCTGACCACCCGATCCCGTTAGTCGCCTCTTACGCCAAGCATGGGTTACTGAAGATCAATATTCTAACCCGGATCTTCACGGGTGTCACTGCTACTGTGTGTAGAAAGATTCTGGTAAGTCTCTCATAAATATAATCTAGAATCAACTAAATCAAAAGTCAACAGTTGCTCAATATGTACAATCCAAATAATAGTATGAAGAGCACAACTCCATGACAAAAATCATTAACCAAATTTGGAATATTTGAATCTGATTGGCATGGATGCATTTTGACAGACATTTGATGCAAAGAGAGAAGCCTTTTCCTAATGTAATCAAGTATTGGTCCTCTTCTGAACCCATGAGTACAGATATACTTGAGCACATTAAATGTAAATTTTGATAGTATTTGATGTAAGATATGATAAATTTTGATAGTTCCAACACTTCACTGTGATGCTACAAATCTGTGATTAACATAAATAAAACAATAATGCAACAGCACCAGCTCAGTAGATATGCTTTAACAGCTGAATATTGGGAATAATTTACAATGTCAACAAAGACAGCCACCTTAACCTGAAAACACTATGCCATGATAAGCATGAGATTAGAATAAATATGCATTTTGAGAGAATATAAGTGCATAGTTGCAGCCATATTGAAAATCAAATTACAAATTCTTGAAAACATTGGTGGGATCCAGGACCTGAATTTTCAGCTTTATTCGTCTAATGGTTTCTGAGATACTGTCGCAATAAATGTGTTTTCAGTCAAACTTCAAGCATGGTCAAAGTGCTCATTTAAAAAACTTACTTTATGAGCCCCAGTACTAATGTGGCCAATAAAGAAAATGTTGTGGTTCAAATTACACCTCTTTAAAATTTAGTGTATATACAAGCAAGTCCGGTAATTCCGCGTGTCTGGTAATTCTGCAGCTGCAATAGCGTACTTCTGTATCGAAGGTAAACATCGTCTGCTACTGCATTTACGCTTGAAATCGGGACATTTCTATAAGGGACTGGCTTTTAATCACTAAAGGTAAGTAAATAATAGTAATTGACAGTTTTATGAAAATTTGTTTTCTTCAGACTTTAAAACCTTTTTCTTCATTATTCATAATTGGATTTAATATGAAACACTCTTCCTTACATTGATGAAGTGACTTTTGAAAATAATCTGGCCCTAATACGCTTCCATACTTCGGATCTCCAGCTGGATGTTATGCACATCAGTTGCTGCGCAGAATTACCGGACAGCAAGCGATGTCGTCAGAACACCGGTAAGATCAACCGTATGGCATAATGCATCGTTAGAATCTTATAGTCGTCAATAAAACTTATATTTCTAGGTAAACATGATGCATACCAGCATGTTTAGTCACATAAACCACAAAAAAATAAGAGACGATAGTTGCCGTGTTGCGATCGATGTCCTTAGGTGCGCGAAATTACCGGAAGGCATTGTAGGTAGGATTAAAAAAAAGAAGAAGAAAAATTGCACCCCACCCCCCCCCCCAAAGTATGAACTGACAGAACATTTATCAATGTGTAATAGTTTATTGAATCAAGTTTCAGATCGCACACTTGTGGCCATGATGTTGACTTTCTCTATCAGAAGGCCATGGTCTGTCAGGGCCAGGAATAAACGAAAGCTTAGAGAGAGAAATAATGTAACTTCTTTTCCATGTTAGCTTCAACTGACAGGGAAAAGTTGACCTAGCAATGAATTATCACACAATCTGTTCACCTTCCCTTCGCAATTTCTTTAAGATTTTCCAAATTAATTGATTAGTTATCTTTATATTTTATTATATATTATCTTACATGTAATGGATTTACGTAAGTAGAGAGTTTGTGACTGTGTTGTGAACGGATCCATCCCAATTTAGCAAAGACTGTGGTTGCCTCAGGGATTGTCACTTGTCTTGTTATAACCACAGAGGTGTTGTGTACAGTGGAGTGCAGATTAGTGGTCATTTTCAAAATTGGTAGGATTTTCTGTCCGTTCCAAATAAAAAAAACTCTGTTAACTTAAAAGGATTCTTTTGTGCTAGAAAACATATTTAGATGTTTACTAGTCAGTAAATGTGGTATATCAATAGTCTTGTCATTTTGAAATTTATATTTAGCCACATTTTAGGGTCAAAATTGGCAGATTTGCTCTGTCCGGAGGTGACGGTCCTAATATCAATGTTCACAAATAATGTAAATATAAATGCAAATAAACAAACTAATTCATATTATGCCAATTAGGATTGATCAAGCATAGTCAAACTGCATTTAATTTTGTTTTAACTTAAAAAAGTTTTTTTCTACAAATTGTAACATGCTTGTCCTGTGATTCTGTGTCCTGACCGTTACCAGTGTATGAAATTCCTGCAATAACTTCCCCCTGGAGCTGGATTGTAATTCAACTTTCTGTGTCTGCTTGAGCTAGCCCCTGTGCATGTGACAGCAAATGAAATAATGAAATTCAACACATTTTGCAGAAAATTTACACCATCAAATAAGTATAAATGTTATGTGTCAACCTTAATTGTCCAGACCGTTACCAATGTATTTTGTGTCAAATATATCTCTTTGTTTTTTTAAATTTCAATGGATATGTTGCCCAGAAATGGAAAAGGTGGAAGGCATGTCCTTTGAAATCTTTTAGGGATCATTCATTTTTTTATTTTAGATTTACTTACAAATTGTCTTGACCGTTACTGTCCAAACCGTTACCATTCTGCAAAGTAACGGTTTGGACAGTCCTTGTAACAGTCTGGACAAAATGATTTGTATTTCAAAAAGTTGTTCATTAATATTTGAAATATAACAAATTTATAATTACTTTTAGGGTTAAGATAAGTTTAAGCATGGGATTTTACTGTTCAAAGGAGTTTTGATGTAGTAGCATAAAAAACACAGTCTCTAGTAACGGTTTGGACAAATAATAGTAACGGTCTGGACATATCTTTAATAAATTTCTATTTTAAAGAATATGTTCCATGGTGTGATAATAATTTTCTGTTTACTTATCTATCTGCTTTAAATAATAAAAACCAAAACGAATTTAATATGTTAAGTTCCTATTTTCTATAAGATCTATAGTCTTAATAAATTAAAGGTAACAGTTAGAACATCTATGGTATCAGTTTGGACAAAATGTAGTAACGGTAAACAACTTTCAGTATTCCAACCTTTAAAGATTTTTTGGGTGTAAACTGTTTTAACTTTAACTGTGAGATATGTAAGGCTACCATTTACTTTGAATATTTGCTAGGTGCTAATATGTTGGCCAAACCATTGTATTTGATAAATATGTGTTACCATCTGACGATTAACAAAAACTAAAGGTATCCGAGTGAATGAAAAATGTATATTTCTTGGAGACTAATATTTGAGATTTCATTTGAATTAAAACTAAATCAAATTTCAGGAATTTGATTTTACTGTAATAAAGAATTTAAAATCCTACCAATTTTGAAAATGACCCGTACATTTGTCATTTTTTAAAATTATGTGATAACAGTGAGCATTAAATGAAATATGTCAGCTTTTGTGTTTGGTTTCGGTGAAAAACGTGACTTTAGGGTGCATCTACAAGAACTTAAAAACTCCTGAATATAATATTTTCCATAAGTTTTAATTGTCATTTGAGGCAAGACTGTACAAAATTACAAACAAACCAAGTCTACATTGATCAACAAAACAATGAGTACAAAAATATATATTGACAGACTACCAAGATATATAAAAGATGACTGTTCAATTCACTCATTTGCAGATTTTACACAATCACATTAAAACCCACTTTTTACACTAATGTACCGTATATCACCGTAGATAAGCTGAATTTTGAGGCCTAAAATAGCAGTCTGTAGAAGAGGGTCGGCTTATCTATGGGTTACACTTTCGTCAAACTTTTTTCAGGGGATAAGAAAATGACCTTGTATCTCTTTTCATGAACAGACAGGCAAGAGAAGATGACTTTGTCAGTAAAGACGTCAAATTTGCAATTAAACATCACTAGACAAGATTATTTCCCCTTTCAGTTCTAATTTGATTTGCTAGGCATTGTATTATATGCAGGGATTAAGATTCTGTGTGTATTTGCCATGTAATAGCAATCAGTCGTGCACACATTTCCCGGTGATCTAGTTAAAACATACCCAATTATATAACAGGATGCTGCAGTGAATGGTAGTTTGGTACTATATAATATCTAAAACTAAGAGAAATATAGCCTAGCATTGTGTAATTTGAATTACAGGTTTTGGTCTATATAATATGTAAAATATGTATAATCAATACTGAGTTGTTCTGAGCTGGGTATTCATTACTGTTTTTCTAAGAATTATTAGCGACAATCGATTATTAAATTTTGCAATCGACTGTCGCATCGGAAAAGGGTAATGAATCAATTATTGATTATAATCTATCATTGGAACATCACTAGTGCAGATATGATTATCAATGTACTCGGATGAACAAGTTTAATGCTTGTCACAAGATGAAGGTTGTAGTTGCTGGAAGCCTAGTCACTGGCCAGGCAAACTTGACTCCACCTGTTTATCTTCGATTAACAATCACAGAAGCAGTTGATAAAAAACTATCATGAAACTATGCGAGAAAAAAGATCTTTTGGCCTGAAAATTTTCGACGCAAAGAATAAATCAGCTCAAAAAACTTATATCCATGAGCCAATTATCTTCCTTTATAGTAGGACCTGATATAAAAACACCCATTTACTCTTGAACTCCAGTTACACCATTCACAGTATAGGATAAACACCTCTTGACTATGATTTCCTGCATTTTCTCCAGCTCTCAAGACATGCAGCCTCAGACAACAGCATACATCAGCAAATTTACAGTAAATACAAGCTCTACAAGCGGATGCTCTAACAATGATGTGGAAGGGTCCATTTGCTTACGAATTACCTCCTTGACCTCAGAGTTATCAAGAAAGTAGAAGATACAGATTTTGTCATCATTCTGTTAACACTAGCATAGAGACAGGGCTTGGTGCCCAAGATTATTTCCATTATCATGCCATCGATATGTCACAATCTCTGACTCAGTCCAAATTAAACATAGCTTAAGGTAAGATCCATTACTTCAACTCACACACTTGAAAGCTAAGATGGAAGACATTCTGCCAGTTGTATTCAGCAGGAGAACCAGATCATGGTAAGGCAACATTACCATTACCATTTATTGATTTCCTACTTCACCTTAGACACATAAAGACATTGTGATGTGGAATTCATGGAACTATGAAAGGCACTATGCTCTGTTCATCATCATGATGGCATAAGTGTTAATAGATATTTGTACTACTAGCCAGTTCCACAAGTGAACTTGAAAGTTAGAAGTATTTACCTTGAGTACTGGACACTGCGTTCTGCTGCCCACTGCGGCGGTTGTTATGTGTCTTTATGTGTTTTGACAAGTGATCACTCCGCATAAAGCGTTTGTTGCACTCTGAACACTGGAATTTTTTCTCACCTAAAATGCAAAATACGAAAGACCATTATCAGGGGTGGAAATAACCCATTGCCCGACGTCCGAGTCCAGTGTTTTTTTCTGTCGGGCAAGCAAATTTGTATATCACACTGTACCGGTGTCCAGTTGACTTTCCAATGTTAATTATGTTGTTTATTTAAAAAATCAACAAGAACACGGACGGAAAAGTGGAAAAATTATCAGGGCAAGTGATTTTACATGTGCCACTGTACCGGAGTACACTAGCGATTTTAAATTTATTTCCACCCCTGATTATATACCATGATATACAGAGGTGACAAAAAATTTGGTAAGTGAGGATGTGGTTTGTTTGCTTTTTAACATGGCACTCAGCAATATTCCAGATATAAGGCGACGGCCTGTAAATAATTGAGCCTGGACCAGACAATAGTGAGGATGTGTCTAACTAGATGTACGCAGCTTTCATGTTGGAACAGTTGAAAAAATATCAATTGACTATCAATGTTTACTAAGTTTAATGATTTGACCTTGAGTGATCATGAACTTACATTGTGTTCACTCAAGTATTGAAACAATGAGACTCTCCCTCGGACTGATCAGAGATCAAGTATACTAACTACCCTCAAATTCCAATAATTGACGTTATCTTGCAAACAAGTAATTTTGAATTTGAAAATAACTTAATCACTAGTTTTGAAGTTATTGGTTGAAAATCTTTATGGTCATCAATCATATACATATTTTACTACAACTAGTAGTTTTGATTCTTTAACTTCCGTGAAGCGATCTGAAACAAGTAAGATATCGTTTCAGGCTTCCACAACGCTCGCTTCGCACTCACAAACATAACCCATTTAGCATGAACTGCGGGGTCCTGTGGAAATCTGTGCAAGGTGACACCATCGCCCGACCCCTAGGAGCAATTGACGACAAAGCAACGATTCGGCATGTCGTCGTTGACGTCGAGAAATCATCAACATGATGAGAGTGCTACACACTTTATATACAACTAACTGAAAATCGTTCCTCATATGACGTCACTGCAGTGCTCTGGCGACAGAGTTACGTAACCTGTCTGTGGTTTCGTTGGCGGGCGAGAGTGAAGCAGGCGACTTTTTGGCAACTTTTAATCGCTCGGTATTAATTAACCACAAGTATTTTAAGAATGAATTTGGTGTTCTAACCACAAATCTTTCATATGTAATAGTTAAAAGAGTAAAAAAAACCAAAGTTTATTTGTTCTCTAAGGGTAACTTATTCTAAAGCAAACATGCATGCTCTCAATGGACAGTTTGAGCCATAATGAAATTATTGTAGGATGATCAACCATTTCCTGGACCATATTACTAACAGTAGCCCTAATGTTGCTGTAATAATTTCTATTTAATGTCAAGTTTGGTTTCCATGGCAACCACATGCAAAAACCTAATGTTTGCTAAGATATGGTTTTCCAAGTTTGCATCTACTTTGATTGCCCATTAGCATTTTCATTATATGCTGTAAATATATAACAATTGAACATAGCTGTTAGCCCCAACATTAGTTGCACTACCCAATTCTAAACATTTTGAACAAGATTTAACAGATGACACAATCCCCCTGTCTGGTGAATTAGGAAAAGGAGTTTCGCTAACCCAAACATTGGAATGCATACCTTCAACCTGTACAGTTCAGGAAAGAAAATAATGCTGTTCAGAGTACTTTAACATCTCAAACCATCAAAAGGCATCACTTCGCCACTACTGATCTGTAAGGCCAGTTTCAATAAGAATTTCTTATCAAGAAACAAGCACTAACCTCATTTTCAGACCAAATCATCAAAAGGCACCACTTAACTGATCTGATAAGCAAGTAAGTAAGTTCTATCCAGAACTATTCACCAGCCTAGAAAAGGGCAACTTGATTGATATGTATAGCAAGTTTAAAAATGTAATTTTCTGAGTAAAATTGATATTTTATACTTATCCTGACTCATGTATTATTGCTTGTCTCCTTCCTTTCCCGAACGTTAGTGGAACACTTGTATCTCCTTTTTGAAGCTCCCTTAAAAAAAGCAGACGTAAAATCACTACTCACCACGAGTTGTCTCCCTCTCGGTTTTGGCGGGAAAACGGCGCCACCCATCTTCCCACTCTCCGAATTGCTAGCCCGACACTTTGATTTACAGGGAAATACAAAGTGCCTAGTGGGGAGGTTGGGAGGGCTTACCTCATGAGTCAGGATAAGTATAAAATGTCAAGTTTACTCAGAAAATTACATATTTTTCCTTATCCTGACTCATGTATTATAGCTTGTAGAATCCTACGGATTTGGTGGTGGGTCAAGCCACTTCTGGATTCCAATTGGTGATTTACGTCTTGCATACCCCCTATGGGAACTTCCTGGTAGCACTTCAATTTACTGCTAGGCCCTGCTGCTGCTGTAACCCTTACTTCCAGCTATCTCTGATGGGGGGACCACAATTGTTAACTTTTGGTCCTTGCTTCTGTTAACATTATATGTGGATTTTAACAACTCCATCTCTTGATGCATGCATGAAGTGGAGAAGCGACCCTTCTTATGTACGAGTACGTCCTTACAAGTACTGGGTCTTATCACTCATGCTAGTCTGTCTTATATGGACTATGGCATATGGACTCTAAAGCTGTAACTCTCCTGAGTGTAGGCTTTTGCAAGTCATGTGATAAAAGGGCGAGACTCTGTCTCAGCGCCTCTGTGGAACTGTCAATTGTTGTGCTACAACAAGTGGGCCCGAAATGGTGAATGCCAGAGACGTCCTCAGTGGCGATGTCTCTCAGGTAGTGGTTGGCAAACACCATATCTTTATAAAGGTGATAAATGTACTATGTTGTCAATAAATCAACTCGTCTATTGTCTACCTAATTTTTATTTCAACCGATTTAACATTCCCATGCATTTAAAGGGCAGTTTACAGGAGAGAATTTGGTACCAAAACAGCAACTTAAGATTTTTTTCAGAGTTCAACAACAGAAATCTGAAATAGTCTTTACATTTATGCTAATAATACAGGTGGTGTAAAAATATGAATTAACATTTTTCCTAAACAAATAAATGTTGAATGTTTGTGTTACTTTACTTAATTATCGTTTCTTTATTGAAGAAATATTAATATAAATGTTAAGTCTTGATAAATACGTTTCCCGTCATGCATGCACATCTTTATCACAGCATCCACTGTGGCCAACGATTTGCAATCGATTGTTGCAAAGGTTTATAGTTTTTTTCTGCTTTAAAAAAGACAGAGGTAAACCTTTCATTAGTTTAGAAAGGGTTTATTACAGAACTTGTAGAGCTGTTGGCATGTCTTACCAACAAGTTCACAATATTGTAAATAAATCAGACAAGAGAGGGACCGTCTCAAATGCAAAACCGGGACGTAAAACCATCCTTGACAACTTTGACAAGGGAGTGCTTAAACGGGTTGTCTACAAACTTTACGAGAAGAAAAATATATATATTCTAAAGAAGTTACACCAGTGACTTCGTTAAATCTTTGGCCAATGTTCACAACTAGATTAAACAGACCAAATTATATCCATATTTTTTCAATGAAATATACTGTTGACATGCAAAACATTTATTAAAACGTTGCACATTTCTACAATCAATCGATAAGATAACACAAGTGATAGGAATCTTTCCAATGTACAGTAATTCGTATGTTTATTTCAAAACAAATACACATACACAAATGATCCCTTACATAACCAATATTATACTATCGTGCACACATATTCAACATTTTGCAGAAAACATCTATTGAGATGACCCCTCCCCCGAGCGTGTGCTCAGGTGTCAATTTCACCTGTCGATACCATGCATGCTGATGACATAACACAGGCAGTTAATGTTTGTATCAAATAACATCCCACTACACCTTATTTTTCTAAGTTTTTGGTATTTTCATCAGTAAAATCACATTTTAGAGCATGTCTCAAAATTTATTCCCTCGGTCTACATTAGGTAGATGTTTCTTGAAGTGATATTTGTTATTTAAGTAACTGTAATACCTCTGAATTTTAAATAAAAGTCAAAAAAGCATTTTTCTAGCATTTCCGACAGTACTTTAGCAAGTTCGTCCACTCTGGTAGTTGCAGTTGAGGCAGTCCTAGTTCTTGTATGAGAATGGGGAACCATATTTTCGCTGGCCAATAAGGCGCAATCAAAATCAGTTGCAGGTTCCTTGTCTGCATGATTTTCTGCAACACTTTCGGTATTAGAGCTGGTGGCGGGAACGCGTAAGCGTTTAGTCCTTCCCAAGAGATGCTTAGAGTATCTGTTGCCCATGCTCGTGGATCTGGTATTGGAGAGACGAATGTTACCAGTTGATTGTTGAATCTTGCGGCAAACAAGTCTATTGGTGGCGCTCCTATCTCTTGTATGATCTGTTTGAAGATTTCTGGATGTAGCATCCATTCTGTTGGGGATGACTGAGTTGGACGAGATAGTGCGTCTGCTATCACATTCTTGGCTCCTGGAATGTGGCATGCCTTATGTGGATGTTCAGATTGTCTGTTATGCTGAACCGATGAAAGCACAGGTTCAGAAGGTTCGCCAACCTTGTTGATCCTTGTTTGCTTATGTAGAACACCACTGTGGAGTTGTCCGTGTGTACCGTTAGATGAGCATTTTTTAGAATGCTGGTCCAGTGGAGTATGGCGTTTATCACTGCTTTCATTTCTAGCATGTTGATATGCAGATCTTTCTCTTGTAACGTCCATTTCCCAGCTGACACTTTGTTGTCGAGGTGTGCTCCCCATCCTTGGAGAGATGCGTCCACATAGAGATGCGTATGCACTCCGGCTCTGCTAAGTAGGTGCCTCCGCAAACATTCGATCTCTGAGTCCACCATAGTAGATATGGTTTTAGTCTGTCCGGGAGTCCGAATCGTCCAGATGTGCAATTACGAAGACCTGTAGTGGGCGTAGTTGTAATCTCCCTCTGCGCCTCATATCTTGTGCTGACGTGAGGAGACCCAACAAACTCTGCCACTGTCGGAGTGGCCACGGAGAGAGTAGAGCTTGCGATACCATCTGTTGTATCTTTAGCCAACGGTCCTCTGGTAATGTTATGCGGTTTTCTGTTGTGATGAGCCGAATTGCTAGGAACTGCAGGTCCTGTGTAGGCTCTAGTTCCGACTTGAGGACTGAGTAGGCTCTGCCAACTTTGTAGTAATAACGGAGAGAGTAGTGCTTGAGATACAATGGCTTGTATCTAGATCCAACAATCGTGAAACCCTAGCCATGTCCGTAAGGGAAACGAAGCAATGTCCAACTCTGTGACTACCATCGTTGTGAAGTCTATATAAAGTAGACTGGCTGCCGTAACCAAAAGTCCGTTAAACGTACGTTGCTGCAATTCGCCTGATGAACCGTCTTTAATGCTGACAGGGAAGGTCTCTAACCCTGTGAAGACAGCCGCATCAATGTAGTTCCGTCTAACTGGACTGTAATAGAGGCCTTCCTCCCACGTTGAAAGGTTGTTGTCACTTGTAAACAATTCCCTGACATGTGAACTACGTCCGACTTCTGCGCAGGGCGTTGTCTCTCATGGACCAATCAAAATGCAGCATTTTGATTCCTTTAACTTCCCGTGATGTGACGTCACCGGTGTAGCTGAAAAAAGGTCCTTGTACAATCTTGTGCAGTCGTTGAGATCTTATCAACACTCGGTCTTGTCCGTTATACGAGTTATACGAGTGACCACGTGTATAGAGGGTTGCATGGTAAACGCGAGAAAGATTTCGCCGCGTAATACCGATGTAGGTAGGCTGTTTTCCTGGCTGCTGTGACTGTTACTTCAGACTGAAGATAATGCCGTCGTCCTTATATACAGATGATCAGCTGAAGTCTACACCTCCTCAGCGCTGCCACTTGTAGACTGCATTCATCGATCTCAATGAAGCGTCGTAAATACCCTCTTTGTGTTGAAACACACAGGTCCTTGTAGAGTTGATGGTCAACTCTGTTGTAAGTTCTACAAAGGGAGTCGTTGCTGATTTTGTAGTTTACATCAATCTCTGGAGTCTTTATGCAGGGTCCCATGTAAAGTAGCGGGAATTCCCAAGCTTGAATGTTGGGAATATGTTGACTTTGTAACTTCATAGCCTTAGCAAGGCTGTGCTGAACCCCGCCAATGTAAATACCTGAAGATCTGTACGCTCTCCAGAGTAGCGTTGGGACGTCTGCCTGATGACACTGGCTAGTGTATCAATGGACTTATTAACACTTAATCATCATGACTTCCCTGGATTCCTTTGTGACTTCCTTGGCAACCTTGTCAATCTCCCCTGCAAAGATGGATGTTGTAGACCATGGAGCTCTGTACAGAGTCTTGCTGATATGGATGATAAATGCTCTGACATCAATTGGTGGTCCTTTTTCTGCCTCATCATCTGATGACGATCTATTTGGTTCTGAAGAGCGTGCCGTCCTGCACGCAGGTTTGCTGACGTCATGTAGCGTAGATCTGCTCTTAGTCCTAGAGCTAGATTCTCTGGTAGGCCTCTCAGATGTATCATCAGTGTGGGGTCCTTCGTGCAGCACTGGATCCTCTCTGAGGTTGATGACTTGAGCATGAGAGCCGCCTGGCTGTCCATCATGCGAGGTTCTTTCTTGTGCGAAGCGCTTCTCCATCATCTCCATCATATGTTGAGAGAATTGCTGCATAAAGGCCCCGGGGTTGTATGTCTGCGATGACTGTAGTGATGTCGTATCTGAGATGGTAGCGATATGGTCCAGGGATCGCTGTGCCTCATGGATCTCTGCTGTCAGTGTAGAAGGTAACTCCTACTGTGTAGAGATGGCTGCTGACGTTACCGTTGCTGAGGCCTGCTTTTCCTTATGCTGTATCTCTGGGATGATCAACAACGGCTCATCATATAAGCCTCTCTCTTCCATCGGGACGATTTCGGCCGAAAAGTCCTCGTAGTCTGTGAAGAACTCCCCGTAGAGTTGGTTGAAGCCTTCGGGTTGTAAGGCTTCTTCTGCGTTGAAGATGGCCTCTTTTTCTTCATATGGGTTGAGGAGTTGTCCGACGTAGAAGATCTTTTCTTCGACGTAATGGCGGACCTCATCCCACGCTCATCTTCTGAGGACGCCTCCGGCAGGTCACTGGATGGAAGTATGTCGTCTGACGATAGACAGCTCTTTAGGGACTCAGCCGGTTTAGCCATGACTTGCAAAAGTCGTCTGGATTTATCCTTAGCACGCCTAAGTACAGAGAAATAATAATTATTAAATTCAATTTGTGTTAATTGCTGACATAATTTACAGCGAGAGCTGGAAGTACATATTGTTGTGCAACTGGGGCACAATAAATGCGGGTCTGCAGCAGATAACCTAAACCTACAACGAAAATAGGTTTTAATGAAATGTAAACAAACTGAACAATCACGTAAAAACCGTCAATAAACAGTCAAATTACTAATAAATTTCAAACCATATTGTAGAAGGATACTCCCTGAAACCTTATAAAGGTAACTTATAGGGAAATAACTAAGTTATCAAAGGATATAGTGCCGTGTTGGAGACACAGGTGCTCTCCCAACCGTCCACTAGGGCGAAGAAGGAGAGAGTGAAGAGTGGGAAGACGGGTGGCGCCATTTTTCCGCCAAAACCGAGAGGGAGACAACTCGTGGTGAGTAGTGATTTTACGTCTGCTTTTTTTAAGGGAGCTTCAAAAAGGAGATACAAGTGTTCCACTAACGTTCGGGAAAGGAAGGAGACAAGCAATAATACATGAGTCAGGATAAGGAAAAATAAACCCTAACATATTCAACAGTTTGGGAGATATGCTCTGGAAATGGAAAACAGGCAATGGACAAGCCCATTGCTTTATCCCCCAGTTGAAAAATTCAAATGCAACCTATTTAGTTGTGAGCATATGACAAGATATGAAGACAATGTGAAAGATAATGAGTGAGTGAGTGAGTTTAGTAGCTTTTAGCAATATTCTAGCAATATCACAGCAGGAGACACCACCAATGGGCTTCACACATTGTACCCATGTGGGGAATCGAACCTGGATCTTCAGCATGACAAGCAAACACTTTAACCACTAGGCTACCCCACCGTCCCAGGTAATGATGAACAGAATACAGACATGTGATGACACAAGGCTACTAGCCTATCAGTTGGCTGTGCTGGAAACATGTTGTTAAGCAGAACATTTATTCCAAATCACAATTTCCAAAAGATAAACTACTATATGAGGAATTATTATAACTGGTTGCTGGATTTATCACTCACCTGTATGTGTTCGTTTATGTCTCTGCAATTCATCAGAACGTGTGAATCTCTTGCCACAAAACAACCAGTTACATACAAATGGTCGCTCTCCCGTATGCCACCTGCGGATAAAATGACATCTTTTTATCATCTATGATAGGCATTAATATTTGACACATCCAACAACTGAATAGCTGGGATTCTCACGAAAGCAGGCCCACCTGGATATGTAGCCAGTGTTCGTGTTAATGCAAAAAAATGTGTGTTTCACGGACATACATCTACATTTCATGCACAATATTTTCTACCTAATATCTTTTTGACTAGCAGGGTTCTGACATCTAGTTAACCCCCCGGATAGTTGACAATTGTTCCTGCGTACCTAATAAATCCAAAGTCCCTCAAACTGGAAATAGGCTACAATTACCTACACATTGTGAATTGAAAGTACTAACAGAGGTATAGATAAGCTGCATATCTGCGTAAATTACGCATACATTTATGTGAAAACCCAATTCCTATTGAGTCTATTGTGCACAAGAACGCTTGAATTTTTGTAAATACTCAATAAATTTCATCTTACATGTGTTCACACAAAAATGTCAAATCTCAGTATGCGTACCGGTGAATTAGTTGCTGTAATTAAAGTCTGAAAACCGATATATCAACTGTCCTTGGATGGTTTCACAAGCTGAGTGAATGTTGTTACCGCCCTTAGTTCAGTGACTGAAGCACACATTAGTACATTACCATGTGACTATTTGTTGAAATATGGCGTCCGAAAAAGGGGCAGGAATTCATTAGCCCCAAAGTTCAAACAAACACTTTATTTATGTATATACATGGTCTGGAAATTATTGAAAATGTACACTGTGAGGAACCTGACAGGAATAGAAGACACAGCGGGGATACTGTATCAAAAATGACAGTGGCCGAATGGAAAAGCAAATTCCCATGGCTTGAGTTTTCCGACAAAGAAGGCCAGGTGTTTATGAACTGCAGTCTTTGTTATCGTTTCTCGTATTACGGATCAAATATAAATAACAAACACGTAAACCAACATTTAAACTTTATTATACTTTTATAATTAATGGAAAGAGGCAAAATACCCAATTGCGGTGGGTACAATTTATTTGGTTCCTCAAAGGAATGAATGATTATGGTTTTACACCGCTTTTAGGAATATTCCAGCAATATCACGACGGGGGACACCAGAAATGGGCTTCACACATTGTACCCACGTGGGGAATCGAAACCTGGGTCATTGGCGTGACAAGCCAAAGCTTTAACCACTAGGCTACCCCACCGCCCCTTACTCAAAGGAAAATTAGGATACCGAATTGAGATGAACACAAGCGAGTGTGTCATAACTCAATGACACAAAAAGTTATCTGTACCTCTGACCAATATCAGAAAAATGTCGGAAATATGCAAATATGAGATGAAGTTCCACTGATGAACATGATATTTGCATGACCCTTTCCGATTGTCTTCTAAATGCCAGTGATGTCCCTGACATGATTCCCGACTCCTCCATCATGATTCCAGCTGCTAACCTATGATCTGCTCTACTCTTAATAGACAAAATTGATTGAAACGTTAAATATCCTTTAAAAGCAGTAGGTGCAAGTATCCCCCCTCTGCCCTCAACAAGGAGGTAGGTAATCATTGGCTGGCAGGAAGAGATGAAGTGTTTCCACAGCTCCAATGCCTTTCGGATTGGTAACACCATCTTTGAGACCTGGATGTTGTTGGCAGAAGTCTAGGAGTGTGCATGCAACTGGGAATTAACTGCTTACCTTCGTGGAATTGCATTTTGGAATTATGGAAACATCTTGAAGGTGTGTGTACTCGAAGGCTAGTGTGTAACATTAAACGCATAAGAAAAATCACTATTTGAAATCATCCAATATACCAAGCAACTAATAATGTGAACATATTCTGGAAACAATAGAGATCAATGAACCCTCCCCTTAATGTTTATCTTAAAGCGACTTAAGATATCATATTATATAGTATATCATGTTACATAAAAATTCCAATAACTCCCTCTGTCATGTACACAAAATGTTTTGACATATGGTCCCTACGGAATCATCTAAATTGCATTGCCATTTTATCATCCCTAAGTCTCTGCCAGCAGCGAAGACTTATCAGGACCAAAGTCTCTAACAACTGCAATTAAGGCATTGCTCAATAAACCAGTGGTGCTCACATTTGAGCATACACACCTACTTGTTAATGTTATTCCGAATGAAATCAGATTGTCAAAAGATTACCTTAAGTGTGCTCGTAGATGTGAAGTCTTCCCATATACTTTTCCACATCCAGGCATGTGACATATATGCTGTTTCTTCTTGTTTTCTCCAGTATTTCTAAAGATGAGAAAATTTAATTATAAGAAAAACTGCTTACTTACAAACATGTTTTCAAACATAAAAGTTAGTAAAAGTTTGCAGGTGCAGGTGGCCATCATCTGCACTATTGACAGACAAAGGAATGTACAAATGTTCAGCGGCAGATTTCAACTAGCCAGCTGTGGACGAGATACATACTTTCTAAGTTTGTCTCAGTCTAGCTTCATGGTGCTCCCTTTATAAGATTTAAACAGAGACTTGGCACCACATAGAGAGAGAGAGACTTTCCCATGGTTTTTTTTCATATATACTAATCAAAAAGTAGGGGACATTCAAAAAAGGTGTCAGAACTATTGATATTTTATATCTGTAATTTGACGAGTACTTTGACAGTACTACAGGTATATCTGATTGAAACCGTAACTTGTCATGTTACTTCCTAAACTTTCATTAACCAAGTTATCTATGGTTAATTAATCCAAATGTGATACAATGTAGGTCTTGTCTGTGCACAATACCAAAATGTAATTTTCCAAAAGCTTCTACCCAAGAATGGGTGGTGCACATTATTAAAGGGCAAGTTACATGAAAATTAACCTTTTTGTCTTGGCACTTTTTCATCATAAAAGTGTTTGTCAAGTAGTTTTATAGCCAAAACAGTACAGATATCCGAACTTACTAATCTATTTTTTGTGTTATATGGATTCATATTTTCCACATTAACCGAAAGTTCTATGTCAGTAATAAACACACCACGGCTTATGTCCCTTGGAAATGATGTCAATGGTGCCTGACTGATACACGAATGACGTTGTTAGACCTTATTAGACCCATTTCACGTGGTGCAGGTAAAGGTGTGGTTCTTGGGGAGAAATCTAAACTGTATCCCAGAAGTATTGGTTTTGTTACTATAAGAAAATGTGATATGGCTACGGGAGTGTTGTGAATTTCTAATTGTGAAATTCTTTTGTAACACAAATTTCAAATGCCTCAGCAACAGTATTTCTAATTGTAGATCATTTTAATGATAAATTAAGATAAAATCTTAGAAGAAAGAAATATATGTGGAGCTCTGCGATGCTACAACATTAAAAACATATAGGCATGGCAGACTCTACGGCAACGGCATCATATGCCAAGGGAAACCACTCCCATCTTGCGTATAAACTAAGATTAGCTGCCCTTGAGTTATTGAAAAGGTCACGGCCATTGCTAACTGCATGCAGACACCTTTCGTTACTATCCTTTCCTTGATTTTCAAACAGGTATGTTGTGTCACATTTGTCCAACACTGAACCGGGTGGGAATAGTACTTTGTGATATCGACTCGATAGTTATGTGGTTCACTACTGCAAATAACTATGTTTCTGACGGTGGTGCATTCTCCGTGTTGTTGAAGTGTCAAGGCGAATCTTACAGTTTTATACAATATAAAGCAATCTCCAAACGTAAAGCTGATTATTTGCGTGAAACAGACACAAACTTGAACACCATTTTGTCAGAGACTACAATGATCATAGCTCCTTACAATTGGTCCCGGACCAATTGTAAGTTTCGATTGTAACTTACAATTGCTTTGTTCAAGTGGATGGCAACAGTAGCCGAAGCCTAAGGATTTACAACAGTTGTGGCGCTAAGATTGCTCTATGCAAGTGGATGGCGATTGTAGCCAAAGCCTAAAATCGTGATCTTAATGATTTACAACAGTTGTGATGCCAAGATTGCTCTGTGCAAGTGGGCCCAGCTGTTGCCTGGCTGTCAGCTGGCTATGTGGTCAGTTCGACACTGTGATGACGCTGCAGTTTGAAAAAGCGTATACATTGTACAAAACTTGTTACCTCATAACCAAATTGTACAACATTTAACCTGAGTCAGTCGCCTTTCCAACAGTATCTTCTTTCATCAAAACTAAAACGTGCATATGCACTACACATATCGGTGAGTGTGCTGGCAATCCGATCATAGTGATCGCCGTTATCTGTTGTTGTTTGATGGAATCACAAATGCTCGTTCTGAAATATCGTCGATGAACCAAGAATCGCTGAGAATGTTTTGGAAAACACGAAAATCGAAGTGAACTTTTATAAACATGATAAAATATGTCAGTTATGCTTTGCCCATTACATCACAACTATAGTTCAAACCCATCTTCCTTACGCGAATCCTTGAATTCCTCATACACTTCAAAATAAAATGACAAATGGTCTTTGTCACCAATATCAAGTGTCTCACTGAAATCTTTCTGAATAAATCAGATGCCGCGCTGGGAAAGGACCACTTGTTTGAAATGTAAACAAAGCCCATCTCAGATACACTGTGTATCGTTTTCTTACATTGAGATCCGTTAGCCTACTCGTTGCATAAGTTTTAGAACATGCATGGGAAGAGCATCATAGCAAGAGATAATTAAATAAAAATAGGTGTATTCCATTTATTTCAAAGATTCAACACAACATATTATCGTTTCCAAAAGCGCGATGCCATTACTAACGCAAACTCACAAACAATGTTGACGGTACTTATCCTCATTTCTGACTATTACCCTTGGTCACAATGAAAACAAAAAGACAAGAACCAGCAGATTACCAGAATGTGTCGGACTACTTACATTCACATTTATGCATATACGTTGCTTAAAACAACGAACGTTTCCTTCCAAATACCCTGCATACTCGTGTCTATTAACAAGTCATTTTGAAAAAGTCGCATCCCGATAGTGATGTCATACGTACGTCAACATTGGTATACATATTTCATATTTTCATTGAGGTCATGAATGAAAATACACACGATCATGCAATCTTGCTGTTTACATTTTCAGTTCTAATGCATTTTTCGTACTTTTACATACTTATTTTCACGTCATTAATGTCAGTATTTACATATTTTGCTTTGGGACTAGGCAGGAGACCAGTCTAACTAAATAAACTGGCACCAATTACGTCATAATCAAAGGGCGGTAACTCTGTAACTCTGGCCTGTTTAGCTCGGCAAACAGAGGCCTCCCAATATCATAACATTTCAGCACTTGTAGTGCGAGTTAAACTTTCATAGTAAGAAAAATTAGTGTACATTTTCAAACAATGATATTAAGTAATTACAAAATTCCATTTTGGTTCACATAAGAAAAAATGTGATATTTTCGTGTACACTTGCCCTTTATGTGCTCACACAAGAGTTGCTTCCCTCCTATTGAGAAATCATTCAGGTGTTGTTGCAATAATATTTTGGAAAAGAAATGGTCATTTTTCATCATATTTCTTTCTAAATTATGGAAACAATTTACGTGGTATGTATACAAGAGGTGAAAGTTCAAACTGGTCTGACCTTCATACAAAAAATATAACAGAAAATGTTAATGGCTGTAAAAAGCTGCAAATAATTAAGAATGACCAAATCTATCATCAATACACAAGGAGGTACTTTCATATATTTAACATGTTAAAAGGATAAAAAAGAAAAGATATTTTGTTCTAAAAGCCAATGTGATGTGAGAACAAAAGATCTCAACCTAAATCTGAAAAATTTAGTGAGCATTGTATCTACACATGCACCATGCAGCTGCAAAGATCTGATCACATCAGGTGAGGTGAGGTGAAATTGGGTTTAACGTCGTGTTTGAGAATATTTCGCTCATATGACGATGTGCATGCGTGTGTATGTGAATGTGCGGCTGCTTGTACTAGCCCAGACTGAAGCTGGTTTTATAGTGCTAGCCCACTGAGATACTACGCCGCAGTGAAGCATGAATACCCCACTCAGACACATTATACTGACTCCGAGACGACCAGTCCTTGTTATACCCATTAAGGCCCCCAAAAATAATGTTGTGGTTCCGATTTCCTACATTTCAGAACTAGGGTAGGTAGGGTGTGGGTTTTTTTTGCAAAATATTTTTACATTACTCATGTGTCAGAAAATAAATTTAATTTATTATCTGGTGAGTAAAATTGTTAGGCTCAGTGGGAATATTTAGGGTCGGTTGGGAAATCGGAACCACAAGCTTTTTTTTTTAGGCCTAATGCAGAGGGCCAGGCAGGAACCAACAAGTACCATATTTTAACGTCTTTTGGTATGACGCGGTTGGGGATCGAACCCGCGACCTTCCACTCTCTGGGCGGACGCTCTAAACACTACACCACGGAGGCGGTTGATCATATCAGGTAAAAATAAATGTATTTCGATAAATAACTTGTCACACCCATTTGGCACCCACTGTGGAGGTTGGTCAATAAAAATCAATGATGTGTTACATTGGAAACAAACAAAAAAAGAAATCATATCTTCACATTCAATGTTACAAAGGATAATCTATATTTCAACAAAAGATATGTCTGTCTTTTGTGTAAATTCAAGCAGTGACAGATGAAATGGTTCCAAATTTATCTAAATTTTTGCAGTGATGACGATGATCTGTTTCCATGCAACTTTGGAAAATGACAAGTCACACAAAAAAACAACCAACCTTCCATCCGACTGACAATTTGGACATGTGCATGCAACACGACGCAGTCTGCGACCTGGAGTGGGTGTGTCAGTGGGCACAGACTGTGATGTAACTTGTGTTGGACTGAGAGCGCTGATAGGTGTTCCTGGTGAAGTGGCTACAACTTGCCATTTTGTTGGATCATTTGGATCCTGCTGGAAAGGAACCTGTTGTCCGGTAGCTGTGGTGGCTGCAGAAAACACTCAGTTGTCATTAACTGGGAACCAAGAGACAAGCTTAGGGTAATGTACATCAACACAGAAATGTTTGGACCATCGTAAAAATTAGTTGTTTAAAGGGTCTTGCTAAAACAGACCCATTACGCCTAGTATCTGAAAGCATCTTTCTAAAAATTCACAATACAACAATTCAGGCTAAAGAGCTGAAGCTGAAAAAAGAGTGGAATGTGTTTGAAACTGTTATTAGAATTTAGATAAATATTCTGGGGTTCAACAGCAGACTTAAACAACAAGAGTCAATGAATTACACAACTATATTTAACAATAACCTTCAAGAATACACATAATCTACTGGCAAATAAGGATAAGTTGGACCAGTGCAGAGAACGTATTTACAAGAAGCAGGCGGTGCATGGCAATGAGCAAACCCATTTTGTTTGTGAAAGGTTGAGCAGATGTTGGCTAGTGCACGTGCATTGACTGACGATGAAATTGTCAGTGTAGCACGTCACACTACACTTGATCGCGGACAACCTGGGGCCCCTTCGCTAACAATGGCAAGCGCCAGTGGGCGCTCATACATGCCAATACGGGTCGATTGTCAGGTCTATGCTCAACTTATCCTTGTTTGTCAGTAAATGACGGCATGTAGAGGTGATCATGTCTCCAACGACACAACCATGAATGAATACACCCATTACAATTTCTGAAAACCAATGAATCCTACTACCTTCACTATGGGAGGACATGAATTTACATATTTGTGGAAGTATGGTAATCTGGCATCATATATCATTTACAAGCCTTGCTGTAAAAACATTGTGTGAATCTTAGGCACCATGAACACATTTTAAACAAGTTATTATGGTCATAACTATTTCAGAGGCTCCCTTATTCGAAGAATTTCTAAGCCAGATGCCAACTGTACACTTATCTCACCAATTATTTGTGTTCCATTTGTTGACTGTGTTGCAGCCATCTGCTGATTACCGATGCTCTGGATGGCCTGTACCTGTGGAGTCAACTGCTGCAGAGCTGGGGTTTGAGTTATACCAGTGATAGCACCAGTAGATGAGAGAGTCACTGCACCAAGATTCTGTACAGAAGATCCATTGATGATTTGTCCTTGTGGGGTGACAGTCTGTAGACCTTGCATATTTTGAAGGTTTTGTATTGTCTGGAAACTTTGTATGTTCTGAAGACTTTGAAGATTCTGGACTTGAACAGTCTGTGGGTTAGTTGGTCTAACATTAGCTACATTGAGTGCCTGCTGCCATATATTCTGAGAGATTACTTGACTTTGTCCTGCCAGTTGAAGGTTAGCTACATTAATATTTTGCCCTACACCTTGCATGATCTGCTGTGGGCTAAGAATGTTTGTAACAACATTTGAATTCAAATTTTGGCTACCATTAGAACTTGATGTGGTTGTAGTGGTTGTGGTTGCCGTCCCACTCTGGGGATAAGAAGCTACAGCATACGATACAGGATTTTGCGAAACTGCACCTGGTTGTGAAGCGGGTAGCACCAATTGAGTGGTACCAGTATTCAGCATATTTGCTCCTAATGGAATTAAAGCAGGTAGCCCATTAGGACCAATGGCTATATTTGCAAAGTTCCCATTTGCCATTGCCTGATTTGCAATTGCAGTTTGAATATTATTGGCAGTTTGCTGAGCTGCTGATAACTGCTGCTGATTAACTGACGACACTGTTTGTCCTGCTGATATTTTTATTTCATCAACCACCTTTTCAGACTTGGCTTGAACCTCTTCAGGTGAAGTTTGAGCAGATACACATGTGGGAGTGGAAACAGAGTGTGGCACCTGGGTAGAAGTCATCTGAGTCTGTGATAATGTCTGTGCGGTAGTCCCAAAAAGATCCCACAGCCCCAGGAGCTGCCACAACACCCTGGGGTAAAGCAGTCTGTAACCCCGTAGGGAATGTCTGAACAGGCAACTGGATAGTTTGAATTGCTGTTTGTCCACCTACAGATACTGGAATTTGAATCATGTTGGGAACTTGTTGTACCTGATTAAGTGGTAGCTGCATCGTCTGCACCACACCTGGATTTGATGCACGCACTGCAGACTGCATACCTGCAGCTGCCAGATTCAGCACATTACCTCCAAGGTTCACAACATTTCCTGTAAGGTTTGGAAAACCCACATTTGATATCACATTGGCACCAGAGAGACCTTGTGCTCTAACAATCTGACCTGTTGGGGTAACCATAGTTTGATTACCCATCCCTCCTGCTGCAAAAAAAGCTTGGCCTGTTGACCCTGCTGGGATAATAATTGCTTCCTGACCATCCACTGAAACTGTTTGGAAGGAGGGGATAACATTGTACGTGATACTGCCACCAGGTCCAACCGTTGCCACGACTTGCGGACTTTGTTGAATAAGCTGTCCTGCCGCCGCAAGATTCGTGACACTCCCCGTCTGTTTTCCTCCATTACTAGCGTTGGCGTCCACGACTGCACCTGTTGGAAGTTGCACCCAACTAGGAGCAACGATTTCCCCTGGCGCTGTACTCGATTGTCCGGCCCCTAACACGCGAACTGTTTGGGCCCCTCCCTGATTGTAGGCGTCAGCTTCTGGAGGGGCTCCGATCTTACTGCAAGTCGCAGCCAGAAGGGCTAAAGGGGACGGCTGGACATCCTGAAAGGCGGAGCCAGAGAGTGGGTGGTTATCAACATGGCGGTCACACACAACGTATGATGGTAATGGTTAATACGAATACACGTTGTTATAAAGGAGATTTAAAACCAACGAAATCTTGACTTACCTGTGATGAGCTTGCCGGCACTACATACTCTTGATTTGAATTTCGAACAGTTAATGTGGACATCGTAGGTCCACTGACACAAAATATCGGCAATTTACTTTCCCATATCGTGTATATGTATCGCCTCGAAGGGGCCGTGAACAATGTGTGTTACTACACAGGCACCTGTCTTGAAATCTGTATCCTTAGAAAAAGATCAACATGACTGTTAGTTAGACTGTTATTGTTGCACAACTACGGTTATTATAGTGAAAGAAATGTTTGACTAAACATAAATCAATCGAGCATTAACACAGAGAGAAGCCATACGCCGTGCACTATATTATGTCGCGCATACACAAATTATAAGCACAGTGCGTGAAGCAGCAGGCTTAGTTTGATTGACAGGCCAGCCCACAGTAGTGCCGTGCCCGTTCGAAGATAACCCTTGGGTCGTGATACGCATGTAGGGTTCAAGATTCGAATATTTTCTGAACAGTTTGGATTCTCAAACCATATCTTAATATGAATAATATGCAGAAGAAGAATACTAATTTGTATTCACGACACATGTATGTATGTATGTATGTATGTATGTGTATGTATTATGTATGTCATTGACAAATATGATAGCAAGAGGGGATTACAGATCGGTGCAAAACACCGATATTACATAAGTTTAGGATAGCAGCTTAATTACTGAGTTAAAGTTTGAAGTCAAAATAAAGTTTAGATAGCCGTGTCAACACCACCATGTTGTACTTGCAACAAAAACAACAATATTATTGCCAACGAAAAGTGTGAACATACCTCAAATATTTAGAATATCTAATGCAGTATTTTGAAATCGTTTTTTGACGCACTAAGAAACAACATTTATATCTAATATAGCAACGAACATAAATGTTTAGCACCTATGTCCTCATCGTGTTGAGGAGAGTTGTGTTGTGGTCGAATCGACCTTTTTTTGAAGGGGGGGGGTTGTCATCTTCTAAAAATAGTTGTGACGCTTATTGATTTCCCGTTAGAGGCAGGCGCTGGGGGCGGTAGGGGAGTTACAGAGAGTCCCGAATAAGCATCTGTTGGTGTGGCCAGTATGTTTGTCGGCAAAGGGAAGTAACTGCTTTGGGTATACAATCAATTACTGTATTATCTGTGTGGAACAGGATGTCTTAATTCGTGCTCGTGGGGATATGCATGTAATCCGTAATTCTACGTTACAAGTTGGTTATTCTTTATATTTCACATAGCCTCTCTCTTACTGTGAGAAAATATAGGAAAATACGCATTCGCTTTGGTAATATCTTATGTGGTTTATGACGTCATAAACAATAATGAATACTTTCACATTCAAATATTTGGGGCTCCAATCCAGAATAAATATTAGGGCCATATCGAAATTGTCGAATATTTTTATTATGCGTCCAAGCCTACCGGGATTTACAGTAGCTGTTCCGTTTATTATTATTTACAGATTATGATAAATAACTGCAGTCAAGAGGATTCGGCTGACCGTATTACAGTCAGCTTGGTTAGGCTCATGAGCCCTGGCCCCCTACACGCCGCCCAGGCAGGGAATGGGAGTTCTCTAATATATAGTGGAACCAACCAAGGGCATTCCGTAGGATGTGAAGACTCCTCAATACTGCAGCATTCTGTATCCTAATCAGTGCCAGAAGGGCTGTGTTGCTGGGTACTACCCGGGTACTATCCCAATGTCAGTAGGAATTGGAAGGTAACATTGACAACAATAACAATTTGGAGTCGGGCGACTTGGTTCCTTGGACGCTAACGTGACATTTCGTAGGCGAGGTCCACCTGTGAAGATCCGGGTTCGATTGGTCTTCAGTAACCCATGCTTGTCGTAAGAGGCCACTAACGGGATCGGATGGTCAGGCTCGCTGACTTGGTTGACACATGTCATCGTATCCCAATTGCATAGACTGATGCTCATGCTGTTGATCACTGAATTGTCTGCTCCAGACTATTTACAGACGGCCGCCATACAGCTGGAACATCAACCAATCAACCAACCAAATTAGGTCAATCACTTTCCCGTCAAATATGGTGTGTTTGTGTGTGTCTGGGGGGGGATTCAGTGATATAAATAGTTTCAACAAGCCATGGTTGTGTGCTTGTATACATCTGAGGCTGAACAGAATCTTACTTCAGAGAAATGTATGATTGTCATTTTCTATGACGCCAGCTATATATTCTGGTCATGGATGGACCTCTGAGTCAAAACGACAACCATGTCGAAGACGATATTGAACGGAATGAGCCACGCCATCATTTCGATTAATCTAATGTGTTTGTACCAATGCTGGGCGTCCACTGGCCATAAACTGGACACCCTCATTATTATGTTTTACAGATGGAAATAAACTGCAGCAGAGAGAGGTCGGGTGGCACAGTCAGGCTGGTGAAGCTCATCATCTTCCCATCTACATTCAGCTCACACAGCAAATGGGACTTCTCCCGGGAAGCCCTGCCCCGTCGAACCCACCTGGAATTAACTTGGAGGATATGGACACTCCCCAACACTGCAGCCTTCTGCATGCCAACACTGCGTTCCTGGAGGAGAACCCGCCCGAACTGTTGTGTCAAACAGTAGTTCTATGTCTGAAATTCTGATTTTAAATCGCATGTAACTCAGAAACCAGTGGTCCTGTTTTTGCTAAAATGTTTATGTGTTTGTTGACTATAATTGTTTAGCATCCTCATATATTGCAGAGTCTTAGTTAAAGTGAGTGAGTGAGTATGGGTTTACCTCGCTTTTAGTAATATTCAAAGCTAGCTGCAAAAAGGTACACATTTTGCAGAAATTGACAGGCACTCCATGAGCGATGGCAGAGGATTCCGGTGCTGATTGAGGAGACTGGCAGAGTGTATCCATACGAGGGGTGACTATACCAGGTGCGGATGTTGTCGCCAGTGGTGGTTCATACATTCACAAGAATCTTTCTTTGAGAACTGTGTGAAAACCAGATTAACGTAGTCATGGCCGCCATACTTTCCGGCATGTTAATGTTCCGGCATTAGCTAAGATTGCAATACATTATTACAATTATTTTGATTTAAGTTTTGTTTTTCTTTTAATCAGGGTGGAATGTGTTATATTTTCATAAATTTTCTATAAAATGAAGTGGTGGATGCTTGATTAATTCTCGTGTGTATATAGTCGGGAACTATATACTATATAACAGACGAGCAGAGAATACGAGGTCCTCTGTTGTGAACTAAAAACAAAAATTAATTATCCTGTTCAAAGGAAAATATATTATTGGTGATTTCTTTGTTATCATGCTATCCCTCGAAAATGTTTCTGTTCGGTCGCTCGGCCTAAGCACGATCAGGTCGATAGTTCGCTCGATGTAAATCGTGGTGGAAACTAAAACACTCTGTCTATAATATTCATGTATAGAACAGGAAATATGCTTTGAAATTTTGGAGATGGGCTGTTGAGGCGGTGTATATAGACAAGAGCGTTAAATACGATCGATTGATTCATATACGAGCTTCGGTGTAAAGTTTGACGTATATTTGGAGGAGTGGCTGCGGACAGAATAGGTCTTAATGTCTGATTGATGTTTCAATAAACTTCCATCTGTATTTGAGCATGGGGACTTAGGACTTGTGGTACCTCGTACTCGACAGAACTTCGTACACACACACAAAATTGGGCCATTCGTTAATGAGTCATGAGTTATCACGGGTACACAAATAGTCGAAATATTATACGAGACAGCTTCTCCCAGGAACCCCCCTCGTACTGCCCTATCAAGGTTCACATTAATGGATGTACATTGGTATTTTCCCGTGTTTGGTCAGTCAGAAAAGAAATTACCAATGCTCTTAGTGGTTCTTTAGCGCTTAGATAGCCTTATTCTTTAACAACAAAAATATACGTTAAGTTATGTCCATTTGGCTCCATTGAGAACCATGAATGGCAAAATAACTAAAAAACAATCACAGTCCAATACTCTACACAACGAATACCTTGTACCCAACTGTATCTGATGCTTGTTTTTATACTCTTAACTACATGCATTAACATTTAGGTTCAGTAATACATCTTAACGAAACTGCAAGGATAACTCACATTTAACTTGAAAATTCAGTACTTAGGCATTGTGACCTCGGAAAATTCCTCCACTGAACGAGTGATGAGGAATGAATGAGGCATGCGCACTGTCTGTGAGCGATTCCCACTTTAAAGAGAGTGGGTGAGTAGGTTTTTTTAGCAATATTCCAGCAATATCACGGCGAGGGACACCAGAAATGAGCTTCACATATTGTACCCATGTGGGAAATCGAACCCGGGCCTTAGGCGAGACTAGCCAGCACTAGGCTGATAAAATATTCCTTTCCTTTCAGTTGTCCACAGGACTATGAGTATATATACATGTTTAATGAATAGAGCGAGATAATGCAGCACCTATGATGCAAACCTCATTTTGTTGGAAGATAAAATTCTTCATTTGGTGTGTTCAGAACTGACTTTGGATAGTTGACCGTTTGAGACCGTTTGAGGAATTAGCTAAGGGACTACATTGTGCGAAGTCATGGAAGTGCCAAAAACTATGGCTTTAAGGATGGTCATCACATATTATTTTCTCAAAATATACCTGTCAAGTGAATTGGACTGTCTTAATAGAGGAATGCTTCGGCTAAAAGTTACAAAATTGGATTTTCCCATGTTAAGTTGTAAGTTAAAGGTTTTAATTCTTTTCCACTTGTCAAGGAAAGGGAAATGATGACATGTTTTGACTTTGAGAGAACTGAAACTATTAAGGGCAGCTAACTCCACTCAAGGGATGGCTAAAACGCCACTTCACTCTCTCACTTTTAACTAAACACGGAAAGAACAGGTCTCCAATAGGAAAAAACAATGGCATCTGGTGTTTATTCTAAGTCGACATTTCAACGTCATCCAGATCGAATTAAAATCAGTCATTTCAAAAGCATGAACTTGAGTAAACATTGCTTTAACATTGTCTTGTCTGCTGGGTAACAAGTCCAGATCCACTGAGAGTAAAAGGTAAAATATTACGTCATGGGACAGTAGCAATATAAAAATCATGAAAAGAAACACCCATAAGGAGGTGGACCTGATTTATAGCGAAATTCAACCGGTACTGAGGGTGATAGGTCATCTAGGGAGTGGTTTTTAGGACGAGAAACTGTGAGATAGTGGGTTGACTTTGTTGTAGAAAGAATGAGATAAAACTGTTTTGTTTCGCTGTTTGTGGACAAGAGAGTGACCAGGGAAGGCTTTGTATTTCTGCTAAACTTGTCTCGATAAGATGAGTATGATTTGATTGGAGTGGAAGAATCAAGGTTGAACACTGTTTCAACAGAAATAGCTGTTGGAATGTTTTTCTCTATTAAAAAAGTATCCATAGATAAATAGTGATTTAACACTTTGCAGTAATATTTAAGTTCAATACATTATTCATTCGCATATATTTTATAAATACCTACCAGGATACGTTTCCTAACAGATGGATAATTTTAAGCATTATGCGAGTATTAATTCCAGAATTCCACTCACAGTGCCTTGTGAAGAAACCTGGAAAAGAATAAAGGAACACTTTTACTTTCAGGTGTACCCTTATTCGTTTCTTTGAGTATATTTGTCAACAAGAAAACTGTACTTAGATGGTTAGTCTTCAGAACCAATACCTGGAACATGAACAGCTCTGACAATTACTGGGTAGAAATCAGTGGCAAAACCGAACAATCGCCTGGTCCTGGCATCCATGATACATTCAGCTTTGCTTCTGCCGGGCACGCCCAGGTTGGTGTGGATGAATCTGGAGTATTTTCATGTGGACTGTTCAGGTGATCTTGCAAGGGTGTACAGGCATCCTGAACAATTTCCGAAATTCAACATGGGCATCACTGATGGGTGGAGGCAAAAAATCAAAGTTACTGACAATTGAATGATTAATCATTCGAGATCTACCCTTTGTGCAGCAGGATAATGCCTTCCCACATGTTGCAACACGGAGATGTTATATTCTAGAGGACTCTGCTGCCTTATCTGTATGAAGGCGTGGTGGTTCCACCCGACATTGACATTGTGAATTGAGTGGTTTTATGGCTGCTCCTTTAGGGCATGTCATTCAGACTCTTGTCTCCAGGAATGGGGGTTTTGTCCATGAATTTGTTACGATTAAAACACTTGTGAGAAGAATGAGAAATATGATGTGGTATTTTCAACATGACACTGACACCACTTTAAATAAGGCACGGTTCCTTTTTTCCCCCTGGTATTGCGTACACCATCGGGCCACAGTACATTATCCTGTAGAAGATACATCTCAATCCCGTTCTACATCATAACTGTGTGTGAAACCTACAGATCACAGTACTCATACATGGTAAATATAAATAGCTAAATTTCCTAAAACCTTTTAATTTCATGTGGATTTGAGTATATATACAATTTTGGAAGGACATGATATTTCTGCAGTATCAATGTGTGGCTGCTCGTGCTATTATAGACAAAGTTGGTTTTATAGTTAGATGCCACACCACGCATTAACATGGAGACTAGACCAGGAAGTGAACCACAAACTTAACACTCATCAGGCAGACGCTCCATCCATTAGACTACTGATGTGGTCTTTATGTTTTAATTCAGAAAGGTAATACAAGCACAAAGAACATGATGTAAACAAGTGGTTTTCCATGCAGCAGACACCATGCTACCCATGATAATGTTATTGACATGTGATAAGCGGGACAATCAAAGTGAAGCTTTTAAATGTTTGATAAACAGAGCATGTGTTGAATCCAACAACTAAGCACCCTATACTAGGTCTAACAGAAAAAGTAGGTAAATGCTTTGAACACAATGTTAGTCACTGCTGGCACAAATTTGGTAATTTCCTCCACATCTACAATGAAACTTTTGGGAAGCTTTACCCAGGCCTTGAAGGTTGTAACATATGGGTCACCCATTTTGTTCTGGGGAGCTAGGGTGCGGTGAAATTGGGTTTAACGTTGTGCTTGAGAATATTTCGCTCATATGACGACGTGCATGCGTGTGTATGTGTATGTGCGGCTGCTTGTACTAGCCCAGACTGAAGCTGGTTTTATAGTGCTAGCTCACTGAGATACCACGCCGCAGTGAAGCATTAATACCCCACTCAGACACATTATACTGACTCCGAGACGACCAGTCGTTGTTGTACCCATTTGCCAAGCGCCAGGCAGGGACCAACAAGTACCATATTTAAAGTCTTTTGGTATAACGCGGTCGGGGCCGAACCCACGACCTTCCGCTCTCTGGGCGGACTCTCTAACCACTACACCACGGAGGCGGTTGGGGAGCTAGGAGGGGGAGTCATCGATTTTGTACACACATCCTAGGGGGGTCAGCAATTTTGTACATAAAAATATGTTTAAAATTATGCTTAGAAATTATGGGAAGGGAAGGGGGGTCATTGATTTTGTACATGACATGCAGGGGGTCACTTATTTTGTACATAAATTTTATGGGGGTGCATTAACATTGTACATGCTTCTCCATAAAAATCATCATCACCCCCCAGCCATAAATTATGAACGGTCCCTAAGTTCTCTTTGCTTTTCAGTCCAGTTGAAATAAAAATACTTGAAACAATATCACTGAACATAGTTTTATTGTAAACATTACAAGGCCATGGCCATACGTAAACTGAAATGTTACTGACATGATTAAATATTTCTTCGTGACAGTTGAAAATGGAAGTTCATGTCATTAAAATAATAATCTGCGACAAATATCTTGGGGAGCATTCTATAGTCCATTAACTAGTATTTACTGCTCCTGTACCACAAGGTGTTGGTGAAACTTTGCTTAACAAGCTCTCCTAAAACTTCGAAATGTTTTCTGTTTGGAGTCAAGTTTAGGTTCCATAATATATGAAAAGCACCATTCCATATCATTTTCCAATAATCACATGTTAAATTTCATTGCCTATGACATCATTATCACTCTCCTTAATTACACTGTAAATTCTTAAAGACTTTTACTTGGAGCTTTCTATAACCTTTGCACAAAAGTACCCCACAGTATTTGACAATAATATAAATACTTTTAGTTACTTCAGCCTTTGACAGATGGCTACTGATCTCTGGCAAACTCACAAAACCCTATTTCAGTTAGTTGCCATGACCTTAACAAAGCAGACAAAATACATGTATAATTCAGTGTTAAAAGCATGAGTGTTTTTGAAAGAGTTATGAGCATTTCTACTAACCTATACCTTTGAACTTTTGTAGTGAGAGAATTCCTTGGAGCTGTAGAAACATTTAATATTAATCCTAATTTTATTAAAATGCCCTGTTGCTGTTTAGACACAGTTTTATAACATTTCTATTTCATTCGTCTGCTAACAACAGTAAGGGATAGGACAATTACTATGGTAAATATTTCATTGGTACATGAGTCCAAAAATTAATGCAAATCAATGTTTCCAATTTCATTTGTCACCACTCACTACAACCTACAGAAAAGTCAAACGATTTCTGTGTCCCTTTCAATTCCAACGAATTTCAGCTGTTCTGTTGGTCCATATCTGAAAGAGAAATGTGCAATATATGATACCGATTTTCAATATTTCTTTGCCTACCATAAACACTACAAAATATATCTCCCTCTACTATGTATTACATGTTTAAAGGGTGTGTATACACTTCTGAGATCACATGTGTGTCTCCTCCATCCCCTTCTGCACACACACAGATATAACATTGTAAACTCCTACCCAATATTCAAAAACATCTAAATGCTGAAGGAGAATTATGTATGATTGTTGAATGCTACACAAACTGAACTACAACTTAAGTGAACATCGAGATAACGAAGACAGGAACAAATAGCCTGTTACTGAACTCACAGAGAGTGATGGCATCATCAAAAACATGTAATGCACATCAGGCTTTATCAATTTATGGTAGTTGATAGACTGATAATTTATCGATACATTGAAAACATATCTGATTACATAACACACTCATAAGAGTGATTCCAGCATGTTAATTTGTGTTTTCTTCATAAGATTTTGTTTGTTGTATAATGCAGCACCCAACATTATTATGGACCAATCGATGACATTCATTAACCAAGGCACATGAAAACTTTCATAAAGGTGATACACACAGATAAACAAATATGTATGAAAATGACCTTTTTGGACTATCATGAATATCCAATCACAAACACTCCAGGAATTTTTGTTACAAGCAGTAAGCATGCTAATTTGAAAGTCAAACAAACACATTTTCACAATATTTATAAAATGCTAATATCAAACAGAGTAGAGCAGGAGAGCATGAAGACTGATAACAATTTCATTCTAACCTATTGAAAGTTCTGTCATCGTGTGACACCTTCCTGCAGTTTCAGGGTCATCCGACAGGCAGTCTTACACCAATGTTCAATGCTATTATGTCCCATTGGCCATTTGGGCGATTGTATGTCATTATAACCCGATAGCTCCGAATCATGGCTTATCAATCACTGGATATTCTGGTCCCAACCATCGTTTACAAGTCACAATCATACGACGCGAATAATACTGTGAGATGTTTTAACAACATACAATCACAGATATAAGGGTTTGAGGAACAGATAGTTAGGGACAAAGCATTCTTCAGGGAACTAACATGATAACCCTGACACACACCTGTAATCAAAGAAGAGTTCTTCACCAGCCTGTATTGGACGCTTGGCAAATATGCCAATACGATGGTCACCATTAACCATCATCACCTTGGCATAGCAATTTGGATTGATGGAATGGTTGGCAAATCGGATCTTGTTTCCCTTTCTTGTAGCATCCACCACGAAATCTAGAGTCAAACAAATTCATTAAAGTCAGGAGGTCTTCTCAAATACAGTTCTTCTGACAATCCAAAGTTATATTGTACCTGGGTGTTACATGTTCAAAACAGCAGTATAAACAGTATTTCCAAATTAATCAGTCTCTTTGTATCAAATTACAAACATAATGTCATATTCTGATGACTGTCATGTTCTATAATACAGTTAGTATCACAGGCCCTCGTGTCTTTGCGAGGATTAATGATTTAAAAAATATTGTTTTTGAGATGACCCCCGACTCAAAATGCTTCACAGTACAATACATCATGACAAGGCCGGACACTTCGGTGCACCCTACCCGACTGCTTTGCCCGATCGCTACACTACCATCGCATGCAATCGATTAAAACTTAATATAAACATAATCATGGATGATTGGCCTATCGATCACCACTCATGACACCTACCAATTCTTTATTGTTATTTCTGCAAGTCGACTGAAACCCGATTTTGACCCTCAAATAAACGATCTTGACACAAATGGCTGATGATATATCCGCACAAAACAGGGGTGTGGCCTTAATGTCATATACTGTGAAGCATTTCGAGTTGGGGGTCATCTCAAGTTTTTTCTTATATTTTATAAAATCTTTAATCCTCGCAAAGACACGAGGGCCTGTGGTTAGCATGTCATCAACAGAAACACTCAGTGATGCATATGCTACATATATCACATAGAATTGATCTATCAGTTTGGGAGTTTGATCAATCAGAGTGATACTCACTATTGATGGATGAGAGTGGTATTGGCCAAAGTAAAACTTACCATTGTTGAGATTGAAGAGAAAGCTACACATGTATTTGTCATACACTTTTCCTCTTCTGTCAGCTTCATCTTGTGATATTATCTGTAAAAATAGTGTGTAAATGTAGTGATATTCAACATGGGTTTTTTTTTAAAGATTTTCAGTCAATAATTTTAAGATCTTTTTAATGCATTTTCAAGGCATGAATTATAGCAGTGCAAAACTAAACTCATTTACTCAATATTGATCTGGATGATTTATCCTGAAATGGTACTATATGGGTGGACAATGGCAGGCATGAATACCTTTAGTGATTGCATGTCTCCTATCGATCTGGACGATTTATCCTGAAATGGTACTTCCTGGGTGGATAATGGCAGGCATGAATACCTCTAGTGATACCATGTCTCCTATTGATCTGGGAGATTTATCCTGAAATGGTACTATATGGGTGGACAATGGCAGGCATGAATACCTCTAGTGATTGCATGTCTCCTATTGATCTGGATGATTTATCCTGAAATGGTACTATATGGGTGGACAATGGCAGGCATGAATACCTCTAGTGATACCATGTCTCCTATTGATCTGGATGATTTATCCTGAAATGGTACTATATGGGTGGACAATGGCAGGCATGAATACCTCTAGTGATACCATGTCTCCTATTGATCTGGGAGATTTATCCTGAAATGGTACTATATGGGTGGACAATGGCAGGCATGAATACCTCTAATGATACCATGTCTCCTATTGATCTGGATGATTTATCCTGAAATGGTACTATATGGGTGGACAATGGCAGGCATGAATACCTCTAGTGATACCATGTCTCCTATTGATCTGGATGATTTATCCTGAAATGGTACTATATGGGTGGACAATGGCAGGCATGAATACCTCTAGTGATACCATGTCTCCTATTGATCTGGGAGATTTATCCTGAAATGGTACTATATGGGTGGACAATGGCAGGCATGAATACCTCTAGTGATACCATGTCTCCTATTGATCTGGGTGCCGTTCCACTAACCGATCTTATCTAAGACCAATCTTAGCAAGTTACGCCAATTTTACAATCGTCTTTGCTAAAAGTTACACCCGTTCCACTACCCGATCTTAGGCCGATCGTAGCCGGTCCCGATCTTACGATCCGATCCAAGCTTAGATCGAGACTCTTTCGTGCGAGAGATAGAGGAATGCGAGGCACGAGTTATCGCCCTTTGCATAGTCTAGCAAATGATGGAAGTAGTTTACGAACCAACTGAGTGAGTGAGTGAGTTTAGATTTACGCCGCAGTCAGCAATAGTCCAGCTATATGGCGGCGGTCTGTAAATAATCTAGCTAAGATGCATAGCGTTCACTAACATGAGCGTTCATGTTAGTGAACGCTATGTATCTTAGCTATAAATAATCGAGTCTGGACCAGGCAATCCAGTGATCAACAGCATCAGCATCGATCTGCGCAGTTGGGAACCGATGACATGTGTCAACCAAGTCAGTGAGCCTGACCACCCGATCCCGTTAGTGGCCTCTTACGACAAGCATGGGTTATTGAAGTTCAATATTCTAACCCGGGCCTTCATGGGTATTTTTCCAACCAAGTGTAAACGTGGAGAAAAAGCCAAGAGCAAAATATTAGGGTAGTGAGCACCTTGGTTTCAGGTGCAAGTGCATGTGAACGCTGGGTATCAGGCATAATATAATAATAATAAATGCGTATTTATAGTGCGCCTATTCCACATCCTGGGGCATGCTCAAAGCGATATGTACAGACAATTTACACGAGAGTATTTACAGCCGAGATTATAAGTAATATACTGAGAACAGGGTTTAAGTCTGGACTTTAAAAATGTCAGTTGTGTCAGAGCTTTTAATATGTGCCTGAACCTTGTCAATCAGAATAAACAACACGGGGTTCGCTGGATTATTGACTTGATTGATAATAATGGTAATTTCTTTCAATTTGAAACGTTTCTAAAACAATTTGACATAAAAACAAATTTTCTGAAATATCATGGTCTTATTTGCTCCGTTAAACAATATCTTCAAAAGATCAATACAGATTTAAAAACAATACAACGCAAACCAAACCCTGTTCTACCCCGATATATGCAACATCTCTGTAAGAATGTAAAAGGGACGCAATACTTGTACAAAACTCTAATTTCAGGTCTAGGTTTAAAAAACCAACATGCATCGAAATGGGAACTTAACATTTTATACGACGACATTATATCTAATGATTGGCCACTTTACAATACTATTCCCTTTAGATGTACGAAAGATACTTGATTACAATGGTTCCAATACAGACTTTTACACCATATCTTGCCAACAAACATTTTTTTTAGAAAAGATAGGATATAAAGACACTAATAATTGTAGGTTTTGTCTCGAAGATATAGAAAGAACTATCCACTTATTCTGGTCTTGCAGCAAGGTAAACCATATATGGAAAAAACTTGAGAACTGGCTACATGCTAAAGCACAAATAAAACTCAAAATTGAAAAGAAACATGTAATGCTTGGTTACCCAAATAAAAACAATGATCCAATAAATATCATCTTAATTCTCTTCAAGGAACTAATTTTTCGAAATAAGTTTAACAACATTATGCCATCTTTTCAAGTTTTTCAACATAAACTGTTTGAATATTATATGTTAACAAAGTGTTCGTCAATAATTAGTTGTAATATCAATGCTTTCTACACGTTCTGGTCGTCATGCCATGATTTATTCTGCTAAAACTATTTGATTTTTCATCATGTATACTGGAATATCACTGTTATTTGTTTGTATAAAATATTGAAAAATGCAACAAAATAAAAAACTAAAAAAAAAAAAGGAATAAACAAGGCGTGAGGAGGCATCCTCTATAACGTATGTAGAATCTCTCAGTGGTCTTGAATAACACGCGGTCTGTATTTAGAATCCCCCACCAAATAAGCGCACGTGAAATCAAACATATTTGTATCTTTTTGTTTCAGAACATTGTTCACTTCACGGCTGTCGTTATTCTTAACCATGACGTTGCAATATTGTTGTACAAATGTGTCACACCGACTCGCTCGGTTGTGTTCCCATGACGACAGTGGTCAGACTGGCCTGACATTTGTAAGGCTTCAGTGCAGTGTTTGTTTACATCACAGAAATATACAAATTCATTTCATGGGGGATTTTAGGGGACGCTCACGGTGAAATGCTCGCTCTTATTTTTCACATAGAATAAGAAAGCCACCATTTTGATTTCTCTACGATTGATTTTAGCTATTCTAAGTTGGTCATGAGCAACTTTGACTTTGAATCTTAACTTTACGATTGACATGGGTAAGATTGGTTAGTGGAACGGTATGCCGATCGTAACGTCACGCTAAGATTGGGATTTTAGGCGTTTACGATTGGCGTAGGGCTAAGATCGGTTAGTGGAACGGCACCCTGGATGATTTATCCTGAAATGGTACTATATGGGTGGACAATGGCAGGCATGAATACCTCTAGTGATACCATGTCTCCTATTGATCTGGATGATTTATCCTGAAATGATACTATATGGGTGGACAATGGCAGGCATGAATACCTCTAGTGATACCATGTCTCCTATTGATCTGGGAGATTTATCCTGAAATGGTACTTCCTGGGGGTACAATGGCAGGCATGAATACCTCTAGTGATACCATGTCTCCTATTGATCTGGATGATTTATCCTGAAATGGTACTATATGGGTGGACAATGGCAGGCATGAATACCTCTAGTGATACCATGTCTCCTATTGATCTGGATGATTTATCCTGAAATGGTACTATATGGGTGGACAATGGCAGGCATGAATACCTCTAGTGATACCATGTCTCCTATTGATCTGGATGATTTATCCTGAAATGGTACTATATGGGTGGACAATGGCAGGCATGAATACCTCTAGTGATACCATGTCTCCTATTGATCTGGGAGATTTATCCTGAAATGGTACTATATGGGTGGACAATGGCAGGCATGAATACCTCTAGTGATACCATGTCTCCTATTGATCTGGGAGATTTACCCTGAAATGGTACTTCCTGGGGGGACAATGAATACCTGTAGTGATACCTTGATGCTTTGGCCTGGAATAGTATCTGGATCGGCTTATCTTATCTTTACAACGAAAATCACAATGAATATGAAAACCTCACCTCTCCACAGTATTCTGATATAAATTCATTCTTCTCTGCTGGTACCTTCAGAAAAATTCCCCATCCAGCAACATCTGATGGAGCCAGCAGTAAGTGCTGAAAAAGTAATTAAAGATTACATGAAGTTATCCAGCATATGCCTTTTGCTTTCCAAAGAAATGTTGTGGTGGCCACACATAAAATATGATTTGAATCACTTGACACTGGCTTGATGTTATAACTGATAAGAACAAGTATGCGAAATATCAACTCCAGTGTTCCAATGTTTTCTGAGAAGTTGATGTTATCAGAGCCTTAAGCTAAATAGGGTGGAAATTATTATTATTTATCATTATTATTATAGGATATTTATATAGCGCACATATCCAGGCAACTAGTGCATGCTCAAGGCCCCGGTATTTTTGTCCCTCGATTATTGGATGTCAACCTCAACAGCACATCGTATTATCAATCTCAACTCCCTGGGGAGTATACAACTCTTGCAGCCACTAGGCTCACCGAGTAATTGTGGCTTTCTCATCCTTTCATACCCGTTCACAGCTGGGTAGACTAGAACACATAGTCACAGTACTTTGTCAGTTCACTGCACGTTGCTGTACCCTGCAACCAGGTGTTTGCACGCATTCATGTGGCCACCATTCATGTGGTATCATATACCAACGGATTCGTGGGTTCTTTTAAGTGCACAGGGTTGTGTACTGTACACTAGGGGTTGTGACAACATTGAAAGAGTCTGCACATAAAGTTGACTCAAAGGTTTTTACACCCGGTCACAGGTGGGCTCGATCCCGACACCTCAACCTCGCTGGATCACTAGCCTGGCGCCTTAGCCAGCTCGCTCACCGCGCCCCCTAAGGTCAAATCAAGGTTAAAGTATATAAACATTGCAAAAATGTAATTTTCTGAGTAAAATTGATATTTTATACTTATCCTGACTCATGTATTATTGCTTGTCTCCTTCCTTCCCAAAATGTTAGTGGAACACTTGTATCTCCTTTTTGAAGCTCCCTTAAAAAAAGCAGACGTAAAATCACTACTCACCACGAGTTGTCTCCCTCTCCGTTTTGGCGGGAAAACGGCGCCACCCGTCTTCCCACTCTTCACTCTCTCCGAAATGCAAGCCCGACACTTAGATTTGCTGGGAAATCCAAAGTGCCTAGCGGGGAGGTTGGGAGGGCTTACCTCATGAGTCAGGATAAGTATAAAATATCAATTTTACTAAAAAATAAATTACATATTTTTCCTTATCCTGACTCATGTATTATTGCTTGTAGAATCCTACGGATTTGGTGGTGGGTCAAGCCACTTCTGGATTCCAATTTGGTGATTTACATCTTGCATACCTCCCTATGGGAACTTCCTGGTAGCACTTCAATTTACTGCTAGGCCCTGCTGCTGCTGTAACCCTTACTTCCAGCTATCTCTGATGGGGGGACCACAATTGTTAACTTTTGGTCCTTGCTTCTGTTAACATTATATGTGGATTTTAACAACTCCATCTCTTGATGCATGCATCAAGTGGAGAAGCGACCCTTCTTATGTACGAGTACGTCCTTACAAGTACTGGGTCTTATCACTCATGCTAGTCTGTCTTAGACGTGCATATAGACTCTAAAGCTGTAACTCTCCTGAGTGTAGGCTTTTGCAAGTCATGTGATAAAAGGGCGAGACACTGTCTCAGCGCCTCTGTGGAACTGTCAGTTGTTGTGCTACAACAAATGGGCCCGAAATGGTGAATGCCAGAGACGTCCTCAGTGGCGATGTCTCTCAGGTAGTGGTTGGCAAACACCATGTCCGATTTCCAGAAGCAGCCCTCCATTATCGTCTTGATAGAGCAGTTTCCATGTAGAGCGAGTGTTGACGCCAGAGCTCTAATTTCATGTGGTTTGGAGGATCAAGTCCTGCTGCTTTGTAGGCCCGTAGAATGACAGTTCTCATCCATATTGATATCGTAGTGCGAGAGATCTCTGTCTGTGTCTCTGCCGATATCGGGATGAAAAGACGCTTGAATTTTCGTCTCCTGGTCCTAGACCTTTGTAGGTAGACTTTTAATGCTCTTACTGGGCACAAGGATAGGTCCTGTGTATCCTGTGGCCCAAGGACTGATGATAATGATGGGATGTGGAATTGTCTGTCCGGTAGACCTGGCAGTTGATTCTTTGCTATAAAGTCCCATCTCAGTCCCATATGTACGATGTTTCGATTTTCATCAAATCGTGTCCTTTCAAAGTCCTATCTAATGGTTCATAAGCGTCACTGGTGAGATGCCGCAGAACTATATTGAGGTCCCAAGCCGGAGCTTTAAATCTCTGTTGTTGGTCCTCCAGTTTAAAAGAGCGTAGTAAGGCCAGTAACTCTGGTACCTTAGTCAGTTTTACACTCGTCCTCATAGTGCTAACTGAGCTCAATGTCGCTAGGTATGTTCAGAGTGTTGACCCTTTTAACCACTTCGTTTGTCTTAGGTGACAAAGATAGTCCGCCACTTGAGGGTGTGTTGCTTTCATGGCTGTGAAGCCTGTTTTCAAAGCGTAGGTCTCAAAGCTTCGCCACTTGTCGTCGTACAAGTTGCGTGTTGATTTGCGTAAAGCTAGCGTGACCACTTTAGCTGCCCTTGCGGAATATCCTCTCTTATTCAAGCACGCCTTGATACGGTCCATGCGTGTAGGCGGAACACTTTGGGGTTGCCGTGTACTTGCTTTGTGTGTGAATGTACTAGCAAGTTCGTCCACTCTGGTAGTTGCAGTTGAGGCGGTCCTAGTTTTTGTATGAGAATGGGGAACCATATTCTCGCTGGCCAGTAAGGCGCGATCAAAATCAGTTGCAGGTTCCTTGTCTGCATGATTTTCTGCAACACTTTCAGTATTAGAGCTGGTGGCGGGAACGCGTAAGCGTTTAGTCCTTCCCAAGAGATGCTTAGAGTATCTGTTGCCCATGCTCGTGGATCTGGTATTGGAGAGACGAATGTTACCAGTTGATTGTTGAATCTTGCGGCAAACAAGTCTATTAGTGGCGCTCCTATCTCTTGTATGATCTGTTTGAAGATTTCTGGATGTAGCATCCATTCTGTTGGGGATGGCTGAGTTGGACGAGATAGTGCGTCTGCTATCACATTCTTGGCTCCTGGAATGTGGCATGCTTTTATGTGGATGTTCAGATTGTCTGTTATGCTGAACCGATGAAAGCACAGGTTCAGAAGGTTCGCCGACCTTGTTGATCCTTGTTTGTTTATGTAGAACGCCACTGTGGAGTTGTCCGTGTGTACCGTTAGATGAGCATTTTTTAGAATGCTGGTCCAGTGAAGTATGGCGTTTATCACTGCTTTCATTTCTAGCATGTTGATATGCAGATCTTTCTCTTGTAACGTCCATTTCCCAGCTGACACTTCGTTGTCGAGGTGTGCTCCCTATCCTTGGAGAGATGCGTCCAAATAGAGATGCGTTTTGCACTCCGGCTCTGCTAAGTAGGTGCCTCCGCAAACATTCGATCTCTGAGTCCACCATAGTAGATATGGTGGTAGTCTGTCAAGGAGTCCGAAGGGGTCCGGATCATCAAGATGTGCAATTACGAAGACCTGTAGTGGGCGTAGTTGTAATCTCCCTCTGCGCCTCATATCTTGTGCTGACGTGAGGAGACCCAACAAACTCTGCCACTGTCGGAGTGGCCACGGAGAGAGTAGAGCTTGCGATACCATCTGTTGTATCTTTAGCCAACGGTCCTCTGGTAATGTTATGCGGTTTTCTGTTGTGATGAGCCGAATTGCTAGGAACTGCAGGTCCTGTGTAGGCTCTAGTTCCGACTTGAGGACTGAGTAGGCTCTGCCAACTTTGTAGTAATAACGGAGAGAGTAGTGCTTGAGATACAATGGCTTGTATCTATATTCAACGATCGTGAAACCCTTGCCATGTCCGTAAGGGAAACGAAGCAATTTCCGACTCTGTGACTGCCATCGTTGTGAAGTCTATATAAAGTAGACTGGCTGCCGTAACCAAAAGTCCGTTAAACGTACGTTGCTGCAATTCGCCTGATGAACCGTCTTTAATGCTGACCGGGAAGGTCTCTAACCCTGTGAAGACAGCCGCATCACGTAGTTACCGTCTAACTGGACTGTAATAGAGGCCTTCCTCCCACGTTGAAAGGTTGTTGTCACTTGTAAACAATTCCCTGACATGTGAACTACATCCGACTTCTGCGCAGGGCGTTGTCTCTCATGGACCAATCAAAATGAAGCATTTTGATTCTTTTAGCTTCCCACGATGTGACGTCACTGGTGTAGCTGAAAAAAGGTCCTTGTACAATCTTGTGCAGTCGTTGATATCTTATCAACACTCAGTCTTGTCCGTAGCCTTCCGGAGTTACACGAGTGACCACGTGTATAGAGGGTTGAATGGTAAACGCGCGAAAGATTTCGCTGCGTAATACCGATGTAGGTAGGCTGTTTTCCTGGCTGCTGTGACTGTTACTTCAGTCCTGAAGATAATGCAGTCGTCCTTATATACAGATGATCAGCTGAAGTCCACCCCTCCTCAGCGCTGCCACCTGTAGACTGCATTCATCGATCTCAATGAAGCGTCGTAAAATAACCTCTTTGTGTTGAAGACCGCCTCCGTGGTGTAGTGGTTAGAGCGTCCGCCCGGAGAGCGGAAGGTCGCGGGCTCGATCCCCGACCGCGTCATACCAAAAGACGTTAAAATATGGTACTTGTTGGTCCCTGCCTGGCGCTCGGCATTAATGGGTACAACAAGGACTGGTCGGCTCGGAGTCAGTATAATGTGTCTGAGTGGGGTATTCATGCTTCACTGCCACATGGTATCTCAGTGGGCTAGCAGTATAAAACCAGCTTCAGTCTGGGCTAGTACAAGCAGCCGCACATCCACATACACACGCATGCACGTCGTCATATGAGCGAAATATTCTCAAGCACAACGATAAACCCAATTTCACCTCACCTCACCTCTTTGTGTTGAAACACACAGGTCCTTGTAGAGTTGATGCTCAACTTTGTTGTAAGTTCTACAAAGGGAGTCGTTGCTGATTTTGTAGTTTACATCAATCTCTGGAGCCTTTATGCAGGGTCCCATGTAAAGTAGCGGGAATTC